GTCTGCGTGTTGCGTGCACGGTTTAACAAAACCAATAACGTCAATAGAGGCATGTACATATGCATGACTCATTCGGAATACGAGTATATAAAGGTTGAAAGAGGAGGCATCGTCCGGAGTCTTCCCTTTTATACCTTTATATTCTTTTCGTTCGAACGTCAATAATGCGCGCCGGACGAGCGCATCTCCGAACTTGCAATAAGTCAAAAGTATGTCGCGAAATTATTCCCTACGTCGAATGGAACTCGATTTTCGATATATAATATCGATAAATAATTATCTAAGATTCTTCGTAAATGCGTTTAGTTACGTTACGAAAGTTCTATCTCTTTGCTCGCGACGGCGATTAACATAACGAGTTCATTAGAAGCATCCATCGCACGCTGACTTCGTCCCGTCTCGTCCTTTCAATATTTCACGAACATGCGCGACTATATGTCTATTACCTGTTAAAGATAGTAACTACTTTGCTGATGTATTCTAGTGGCAAAGTATCTTTCGTATTCAAGGGATACATTTCTCCGACGAGAAAACAAAAAGTTGAAAATAGAAGAAGAAGAGGAGAAGGAAACAAACGGTAGAGAACGGATAGTAACGAGATACATTCCGGTAGTAATAAAAACTTTACGCGTCGTATAGAAATTCGAACGTTTCTTTGCGCGAATTCGCAGTTTATTACGCGCTGAAAGATGAGTCCGTACGAATCTATTCAAATGGGGTATTTCGTAAAAAGGTCATCGAGACGAGGTCTTCGATACGGAATCTACTTTTCCAAGTCGATTATCTGTCTTTCGGCCGATTAGCAACGAGACTTGGTGTCTGCTGTGTTTTTTTTTTCAACTAACGAACGAGTATAAAGAGAGAAAGAGAGAGAGAGAGAATCGTATTGTAGCGCGTCTATATTTAACGATTAGCCAACTCCAAGTCAAAGCGTCCGCATTTTTAATGCGAATTTAATGGCGTGCGTCGCCTTCGACGAGAAGAAGCGAGACTTTATCTATGTACTATACGCATTAATATGTATGTACGAGTAGACGCGTTGTCTTTTTAAAGCCGAGGAGTCAAATTAAGAGAATATAGATCGCACATGCGAGCTTTCTATATCGTATCGTACTACATAGACTCTACGTAGATCCAACATAAGTACGTATACGTGTAGTATATAAAACGAGAGAGAGAGAGAAAGAGAGTCGAAACTAAGACCTTTCTCCGCGTCTGATATAGACGAGAATGCTTGGCGCACCTCGCTAATTAACAGCAATTTAAATCCCTCTTCCACGTGCACCGTACTGGAAAAGTATCAGAAAACGATATCTATTCGTTGCCTTTTCTACGAGCACGCGTACGCATCGACGTTTTTCACGCTACGCGCGTCAGCCATAGCGTGTGTGAGTCAACTTTCGACTAAACATTTTTCAAACTGCATTCCAAGATCAATTGGATGCAAAGGTAGATGAAGATTTTACCGGAAGACGTCATCGACGGGGAAAAAAAATTGTGTTTATTCCGTCGTAATACGTCGCGTAAAGAATGCGAAATGGACGACGAAGGTGAAGGCGAAGGCGAAGGCGAAGGCGAAGGAAAAGAGAATGACGATGCCGACGACGACGACGACGACGACGACGACGACGACGTCGATGATATTCTCGTGCACGTTCGCGATTCTTTGCATTCTAAACGTAATTGAAAGCGTCCTCATGACGTGACGTGCTCGTGCAAGGAATTCTTCCGTTCTCACGTAATATCCTCGAATATAAATTGAAAGAATCTTAGAGTAGGGTATTACAAGGCACTAGGTCAATCGAATCAACGGGATGACTTTGGGCGTATTCTCTATGAGCTGTTTAACGATCAATTAGAAAAGAGAAAAAACTTTAATGAGCCGTTAAATACGATAGGTGTATTTAAATAATTTCTATAAATTCCATAAACAGAAATCGTTTTAACGTATGTACACGGTATTACGACAAGGCCGGACGGACGCATTTATCTTCGGGATGAGCGAAATACGTTATCAAAAGGAACGATCGACTCTAGGAGAAGGCGAGTAAAGGCGGACGCTTAATGCGAGGTATTAAAAGGAGAGACAAAAGGCAAAACAACAGCGTGTGTTTTAATAAGACAGACCACGGGATTGGCTGGATAGTTAGCTCAATCATGTCTCCGGAGTCTTCGTCGTGTCTCCGAGGGTCTCTGTCTTTTGCTCGCGGCAAGCAAGTTTGCCTACCAGAATTAAAATCCATCGCGAGCGGCGAATCGTTATTATCATTGCCATTACGTATCGTCATCGTTGTCATCGTCAACTTGTGACACTGACTTTTTGCCCTTTCTGTTTATTCATCTCGTTCGATCCATAAGAGAAAAGTTTAAGGTCTTGCCCAAGATGGCTCGTCGAGATGACAGAAAAAAAAAAAAAATCATTCTTCGTTCTTAGCTTTCGATTATTGAGAACGAGTGTCGCCTTTAAAAGTAGAAATAGGAATAGACGCAAGAAATCGGGAGCAAGTAAGTACAAGGGCAAGAGAGAAGATGGGGGTGCTAGCGAGTGCTCGAACAAAGGAGTAAGAAAGCACGTGCTCGTGACACGAAAGTTTCTCGCAGGATCCGGGTCTTGAAGAAGAAAAAAGAAAAAAAAAAAAGGGGAAGAAAATGCGTTTCGTAAGGAAACGTGGCTATATGTGGTGCGTTTATTCGATACCCGCTCGTTCTTGATTTTCCTCTTTTTCTAAAGGTTTCAAAACTAACTAACTATCAAGAGAAAAGCGTCTTTCCCAAGAAGAAGGGAAATTTCTTCGAAGAGGAACACGGCCGTAAAAGCGAAGGGTAAGACGGAACCGTAAATCTTGTCTCGTTCTTAAGCGACTCTCTCTCTCTCTCTCTCTCTCTCTCTCTCTTTCTCGCTAGGGAAACGTCCACATGGCTCTCGGGTACGCATCCCTTCGACGGCGAGAGCTTTCGGGAGAGGCGTCGGAGTGAGAGAGTCGAGTAAAATAATATTCGTGATAAAGGATATTCGTCTCTAATGCGTAATAAATCTTACAGAATATTTGCTTCTCAATTGTTAAATATTATATGCAACTTTTAGAAAAAGAATAATTAAAATATATATGTGCTTTCGATGATACGTATGTAATCTCTTCCAATCTATTTGAGAATTGGCTAAAGACGAGAGAAAAAAAACAGAACTTGAAGATTGTCTCTAATGTACCATAAGAAAATGATATATTATATGAGTGTGGGTGCCTAATCATTATACTTTGAGAATATTTGTTATCCGAGAAGGATCGTAATTCTTTTCGAAGAATCGTAAATCAGCCGACATTGTGAAAAAAGAAGATATTCTCCTTCCCGCCGCTCTCTATCGCAATGAGAAAGATCATCGGCCATCCTCGATGACAAGAAACAATATATACTATAGGCTTGTCGAAGTGACGGATGGCGGGCGCTCGTCGTTGCTTCTCGTGAAGAGATATGGAAACGCGAAAAAAGAAAAACGCGAGAAAAATCTCCGGATATAGTGGTCGAGAAAATGGAGAGGAATAATAGAGAGGTGGTAGTGGAAAACGCGATTCTATCTTCTTCTTCTTCTTCTTCTTCTTCTTCTTCTTCTTCTTAGAACCCCCTCGTAAGAAACCCTATAGTTGAGCTTCTTCGTCCAATCAAGATTTCATTAGTCGATTTCGTCTCTTGGAAGAAACGAATTTGTATTTTTACCCGATTTTATTCTCATAATTAAAGAGAGCACGATTAATTATCCGTAATGACGTACGGCCAACCAACCCTCTCTCGTCCGTTGAAAACAAGAACAAGATTTCTATCTCGCACGCGTCTAAGCGTAAACAACTTCGAACGGACTTTCGGTTACGGATAATGGTTATATAGTTTTTGAAACGAGTTTGTGAAACGAATGATACTCATCGTACTCAAAGAGATTTATCAAAGTCCTTATCGAAAAGCATCGTTTACCTTTCTTTTATTTTCACCGATATCGCATCGAATTTTATCGATACGATAGGAAGATAAATATGATTTTTTATGAGAAAGGAAGGAATTCACAGACTTGTTTTCGCGTTGCTTTTCGAATCCAAGATTCGAATTTGTCAAAGTTCTTCCTTAAATATACCGAGAGAGTAGATAGTGTAGCTTAATCTAGGGTACCTATCGCCTAGATTTTGACGCTCGATAACGGGACGGATTACGGGTAAAGATAAGGGGACAAAATCGTCCGTTTAATAGAAAGCGAGCCTCGGACGAACGATTTCACACGTTACGAATAGAGATCGTTTGTCTTTCCTTTCGGTGCACTGCTAATCCAGGATGGATTATCGAGGAACCGTATAGCACACACGTTTCTTTTTCACCTAGCACCAAACGTCTTAGATTCTTCTCTAACGTCTCGCACGCGTCTCGAAACGATTCTCCGTTTCTTATGTATTCCTCTCGTCTATTCGAGAAGAAGGATCGTCGTAAGACGTCGTAGCGGAGAATGGATGGCGTCGCGATAGACGCAACGCGTAGAAGGCGCCTAGAAAGAAACGAGAACGGCACGAACGCGTCGCGTTGCACGGGACCAACTAAAGAAACCGATCGGCGCGAAGGCGATTCAGGCAGGCGCGGCGGAAGATCGTACGGCTTTCTCGATTGGTCGAATCCCAGTCCCCCTGCGCTCTTACAACGAGTCACTTCATCGGCCAATCCCGTTTGGGTTACATCCGTACGAGAGCCAGATAGGCTGTTTAGGCATTATTTGAATTGGCTCCTACCTTTACACTACCGTCGCTCGGATCAATTTATTATTAATGCAAATATAAAAATTCATTTTAAAGGATTTCGCGTGATAGATGTGTCAAAGAGCGCGAATACAATGGGTATATTTCATTCGACTGGAAAGAAACTTTATAACGACGCGCTTAACGCGCGCTCTTAATTATGTGCCCTTAATTATATCCAATTCTTTATAATCATAACGACGACGACGACGACGACGACAATAAATGTTTTTATTGCTGTCGTCGTGAATAAGAAGAACGATTAAAGATCAAGATATAATTGGTAATTATGAATGAATCGGTAAGGATAACGATGATGCGGACGAGACTTATCGCGCATACATAGTTGCAAACCAACGAACATAGTTGGTTCGATAGTTAGAAATGGCGAGAGAAAGAAAATAGTAGTCTATCGAGCGAGTGTGCGATTGGCACGCAACTCGCTTCGTCGTCGGTGTAACACGAACGCGGTAAGGAGTCACGTTGAACTTGGTGTGCTGCGCACCGGGAAGGGATTAAAAAAAAAAAAGAAGAGCTACGAAAGATCGCACTGTTAAACGGTATATATGAGTTAAAGTGAGGATAAGAGAGCGCACGTTGGAAGAGTCAACGTGTGTGGGTGTTTTCGCGTGGTCGCGTTATACGAATGAAAGAAACGAGAAAGTAGCTCTGAAATCTTAACTCGCCTCACGATGCGTGTGCATTTATATATACGCATTATAAATATACCTACATGTTTTTCCATAATATATTTTCTATATAAAAAATATATTAAAGCTGAGGAGCTTCGTAGATTTTGATTTTTTTTCTTTTTTTTTTTTTTTTTTGTTAGTGTATTATTATCCTTATCGGAAGCCAATCGGAGAGATAAGGCCGTTCACATGGCAAATAGTAGATTAACTCACGTTGGTCGATAGTTGGCTGGTCAACGAGTGAACCTTCTCTTGAGCGTCCAGCAGCTCTCTTCGTAATTTTCTCAATTCGTGTGCCTGTTTTTCTTCCGCCGAACTATAGAGACTGCTCGCTGTCGACACTAAGGATACGGAGGAGCCGTGTACTGAAATTAAAAACTATACTGAGCAAGTTATCCTTATTCGATACCACTTTTGAACGAATATTAAGGACTTAGAAACGGTTTAGCGGGTACTTGAGACCGGTGTCTCGAAATAACTATACAAAGGCACTAACTATCGTCGTCTTTGTGTACGTGTTGGTACAAATTAGGTGGCTGTCGGGACGTATGAGTCGGTGTCGGGGAAGTCGGTTGAGACCAATGTTGACCGGTGCATCCCGCTGAGCCAACTGGGACACTGTAGTATGGTTCTACGCCTACGCCAATACCCATCCCGATACCGGCTTCCTCGCCAACGGACGACGACGTACCGCTCCCTCGTGCTAGCATCGATGGATACATTTTCTCGCTTTTAGTGGATCTGTGAAAATAAAGTCGTGCCACCTTTTAACTTTTCCACGAAACTTGCTGTTAATAATTCCCACCCTCGTATTCGCATCTATTCCCTCGCACTCCCCGCACGTAGGTGTATATATATATATATATATGGAAAAAGTGAATATGTATATATATATTACCTATTACGTAGGTAAGATACATATGGAATAGAAAGAAAAGGAAGAAAAATAAGAAATTCGTGAAGAGATCGCAATAATGCAGCTGACATAAAGAAGCTCTTTCTCCAAAATTGACTACGTTACGTACGTATATATATATATATATACATATATATATATATAAATATATATATATATAAATATATATATACATATATATAAATATATATATATATAAATATATATATATATATATATATATATATATACACACAACGTTACCATATAGCTAATAGCATCGGGCTTTGCACATAAGGAAAACAACTTCTCTGAAATATATCTATGTAGTTGAGTGTTACCTTCATCTGGAGCTAGGCGATTAGATATGAAAATGTTTTTTTTGCTTCGAGAGCACCCATCGTGAGTATCTACACAAATCGCGTGTGAGCCAAGATCGATCGGCTCTTTCTCTCTCTCCCTCTCCCTCACTCCCGCTCTCTCGTTCTCTTTCACCTTTCCGTGGAGATCTTGGGGAAAGCTTATACATGCGTTCGCACAAAAAGCGCAGAATAGAGGCACAAATACGAGATACAAAAGACGAGACTACTCGGATTAACAATAATCGGCCATTAATGCGCTGTACTTATCGACGTGTGTTACGTTCGATAAACGATAAACGATAAACGATAAACGATAAACGATAAACGAATATCTATATAATATATACATTGTTAGATGCAGGTGTAGTCTCTTATGTAAGCTGAACCTCTTGCCGTCGATCACTACGAATATCTTTAGCGATGTTTATTTTCGACGAAACAGTGATAGGTACAAAAGAGTATTATTCGATTTTGGACCAAGATTTAAGATGAAAATGACAAAGCTATTTGAAGTGATGCAGGCAAGTAGTACGATCCGTATAAATCTATCCAACGTGTGTGATTCTGCATTTTTTAATCCTTTCTCGGTACGAGCACACATATTTTCTTTTTTCTCGGCAAACCATTGTAAACTCGTGTCTAGGATAGTAGCGCGCACAAGATGAGGAGAGGATTAAGTTATGCACCGAAGGCAGGGCGGACGAATGTATATGATGTACTGGATAGTCGCACTACCTTGGAAATGTCCTGTCCCGTAGATGGCTAAAACGGTATCAAATATTTCAACGTTATTTCATCGTAACGAACAATTAACTTTCGTGGCAATAATTATTGAATAATTCGTAGAAAGCCAAGAACCGATTATTATAATATATCATAATTCATGAAAATATCGTAATAAGTGAAACGTAACATAACCTGACCGATCTTTCGTAAATCACTTTTATCTTGCTATATTCTATGCATGCAACTAGATGATCGATAGTAGCGATCAGAGGATCGGACTATAATAAAAGATAACGAAAGAAATAGATAGGACGCGTGGACTTAGAGAGAGAAAAATTGTTGGCTCACCTAATCGAATTACTCCTATTGAGTCTCGGGGGAGCTGGGGATCCCGTAGAGTCCCTTTGATGCATCAGCAGACGAGCATGCGTTAAGCTCGCTCTATGCGATCCTAAAGATTCTACGCTGTCGGCTTCGCATAATCCCATACCTGTGGGTCGAGCATCGAATCGATCGTTTAGAAGGAGAGCCAAGGAATATTCGTTATTATATCGATAACAACATTAGTTCTAATCGAACTAATTTAATAGGACAGAGAGTCATTTCATAGGGAAATTGATTAATACAGATAGGTATGTAACGTAGTGTCAAATTATATTTAATGTTGAATTAAATCTTTTTTGACGGCAAATGTGTACCTTGCGAACGTCCACTTGGAGTATAAGTATTGCTGTGCCTCATCCAGGATGTGGCGTAGGGACTGTTAGGAGTGTAGTAACCTGGAAGATCGGGAGCGGCGTAGTTGCTACAGGTATCGCTGAGGCTTCCGTCGGAAGGTTTAAGGACGCGAGGTGAGAAAGAGGCGCTGACCGGTCCTGCACCAGCTCCTCTTTCACGGTGATGGGCTGCGGCAAAGAGAGCCGTGAATTCGGGACTTCCTGGCTTCGGAAGGCTCTGAGAACCGAGCATCAGACGATCTCGAACGGACTGAGATAGTTGACTGGCGCTCGGTCCGGTGAGGCTGTAACTTTTGTAGTGATGGCCTTGATTGGAATTCGATGAATTTGCCTGTAGTTCTGTGGTGCATGTCTGAGTGCCACCGGACACTTTAACCTGCGAAAAGGCACGAGCCGTAACGAGATTGGATCTCTCTCTCTCTCTCTCCCTCTCTGAATCGAGAGCAATTCTGAGCCAACGGTGAGGCGTACCTTCGTCCTTGGAACCGCACTGACTTGAGCCGTTCTCGTTGCCGCATCTTTGCTACCATTTTGAACACCGTTCGGACTAGGACTGGTGCCGGCACTATGTCGTTTCACGTATCCAAAACTCTGAGGTACTCCTCTTACTTTGTTGCTGCTGCTGCTGCCGCTGCTGTTGTTGCTGCTATTACCACCGGTCGACGTTCCCGAGGAAACTTTCTGTGCTTTCTCGCCATTCGCATATTCGGCCATGGTCTGTTTCCGATGTTTATCCTAAAAAAAAGAACTGCAATACCGGGAACTAGCCATACTGGGAAAACAATCATTGTCTATTTTTTTTACAATTTTCCGATTCGAGATAAAAATAATCTAATGATAAATCCTGAAGATAATCCTGAGGAGCGCTCGAGCTCCTCATACTCCTTATATTCTTTCTCCTTCCGTAAAGAAGAATAGAATATTCTCTCAGGAGTTACCTGGGATCGTCTGGAGGGACTAGGGCTCGGTGGTGCGCCCTCCTTGTCTCTCTCTCGGTCTCTCGCTGCGCCAGCTTCTATATACTTTCTCCATTGTTGGCTGTTGGAGCTGCTGTTGGACGAACCATTGGATCCCTGCTGTTGCTGCTGATGCTTAAACGCCGAACTTTCGGTCTGCTGGGAGCTATCGGATTTTTTCGTGTGAGGATGATGACCACTGCCGGGATGCCTCGAACTCACCACACGATAGACCAGGTTATTACTCTGTTGCGCGCCTTGGGGGGTGGCCGAACTACCGCCACCCCCCACGATCACGCCACCGCCCCCCGGCACCTTCTGTTTTATACATAAATATCCATATATTATTGATTAATCAAATTACTCGAAAATTTATTATTTTATTTCGATTCAAGTGGTAATACACGCTTGTGCATGTATTATGCGCGACGAGCATGCGCGTGCTTGCTTCATTATTTACTACTCTGCATCTAGGATGAACACGTTGCACAGGGAAATATACCATAGGTTCGACGTGATTCGTCAGATGGGTGGCCGAATATCAAGCGTAGACGAGTAGATACCCTCCCTCCCTTTCCGTTCTACACGTAACTACGAGTTTCGCTTTCGTTAACCTACGCTTTAGGTGAATCCACGAATCGTGTGATGACTCACACGATATAGATAGGATAGATAACGAGAACTAAACGAATATCTTTGTAGTAGAGAGCATTTAACTCGGGGATAATCGGTAATAAATACAAAAAAAGAAAAAAGAAAAAAAAAACAATAGATTTCGATCTTCCATTTTAAACCATCCTGTTTCTTTTTTTTCTCATCGAGAGAAAAAAGAAAAAGGGTCGCACGTAGTAACGAGTTAGGAGCGACGAATTTCGTTCAACGTCGCTATGGTATGCGCTCGGCTCGATCTTATGGGTTCCCGAGACGGCCGAGAAACAATAAACGCAGGACGACGAGTACCTTTGAACTACGTCCCTGGCACCGATGTGAAAATAAACGAAGAACACTTTACGCTCGTAGGAAAGACGGTCGTGGCGGCGGTTTTAGCGCGATCCCTCTTCGGTTTTCCACCTGGATTTTACGGATTTCGAAATTTATTTTTTCTAATCATCATCAGCGCGCGGAAAGATGTTTAAATTGTTCTTTCAGATGAATTTCAATAGAAGATCTCCTACTTTTATGACGTCGTCACGTCGATGATCGATTTTACACCATTTTCTTCTTAAATATAAAATCTCAAGCAATTGAAACGAACCTCAATCATAATCGCAAAGGAACTCACCATGATCTTTCTCCGTAGGTCTCCTATCGCTAGTTTGCCTGCATAGATGGTCGATAATAACGGCAAGGATAATTCCAAACGATTTGAACGATTATTATAGCAAAGTACTCGTTCGCTCGACGGCTAACCGTCTCGAGGGGGACACCTAGAATCGACAATGAAAGTGGCGTCGTATCGTCTGGAAGGTCCGTAAACGTCTTTCGTATTCTTCGTACTCGCACGACGAAAGCGTTACTGCGGCGTGGTTCGGTTCAACGTTCGATCGAACGAAAAAGAGGCGACATAATGGTCTGAGGAAGCGCGAATAGACGGTCAAATATACGAATATGCGATATATACGTGTGTGTTTGTATGTGTGTACACATACACGCGCATGTATCTACCGTGTGAAATTTTGGGCTTGAAAAATGAATGACTCACGGGTCTCGCGTTCGGCATGCGCGTACGGCGCGTACGGGAGCAACGTTTTAACGTAACTGCCGAGAGCGCGGACGCGCGCGAGCGCACGCTCGACGATTCATCGCTCGCCACCCCCTTTTTTCTCGAGCCCCCACCATAATCGCGCTTACGCTACGATACCGGCACTTTTAACCAACCGTACCTGATGTCAAATACTACTACTACCACGTTTTATTACAGGCTGATGCGAAAAGAAATCGCATCGACGAGCACCTTTCGCTCGTTATTAGCGTATACGCTAATACGGTTAGAAAAATTTGAAGAAGGAAAAAAAAAGAGAAACAAATGGTATAAAGGTAGAAAGGAAGAAAAAGAACGATTATGATTTCGCCTGGCAAATATCGATTTCGTTCGACGACGAGCTGTCGTGACCCGGCTACATAACTCAAGAGCCGCGTCGCGCGGGCCGATTATTCTTTTCCCTTTTACTTCGGCTTTAGCCCTTTTCTAAGAAATCATTAGTCGCGTTAGGTAGACGAAACGAAGAAAAAGAAAAAAAAAACAAAAAAAAAAGAAAGAAAAACAAAAGAAAATCCATCGAAAGGATTTGGAAAATAGGAAAGGAGTCGATGATTTTTCGACTGGATCGTCGGTGGACGTTGCGTCTCGTTGGGTAGGATATCGATCGGCACGATGCTCCTGCTCTAGGGAAGGAGGAAGAAGGAAGAGGGAGGTCGCGGGGGTTAGAGGTTCGCTGACCTTGTGATGAGTGGAATGACCCGTGTGATTGGCGGAGGTGTGATTTCCGGCCGGAATCGAGGCCAGCTCCTCGATTGTGAGTTCGGCCAAAGCGTCGGTCCCACCGCTGCAAGCACCTAACAGGGCTCCTGCTCCTCCAACGAGGCTACTACCTCCACCGACGGTACCGGCGACGATGCAGCCTCCTCCGGCTCCATCCGACCTCACCGCGTTCGCCGACGGTCTCTTCTGCACCCTTCGCGAGCTCACCAGTTCCTTCACCCCGGACAATTCTCGTCGCGAGCCACCTACGTACCTACGTAGACAACACAGAAATATCCCCCTTTTATTATATCCCATCTTATCGCTTTTCGATAAGTCGCCTATTATTAGAGATAGACTCTGTTCAATTCCTAATCCTTTCGAGGTCTTTCAAGCGCATTTTTATAAATCACCTTCTCCTGCCGTCGCATTTATTCAATCATCTTTAGAGGAAATATTTTCGCTATATATAGGTAGATATATATGTATGTATGTATGTAGATATATATATATATCTCCCTATAATGATATATTTTTCGTCCTAACGAACAGAGAGCGGGCCCCTCCTGTCTGTACGCCGTGTACCATATTCGAGCTCCAGCGGGAAGTCGTTTAATGCTATTTCTTTACAATTTCTTGAGAAAGATCAGGCATCTTTCAACGATACAGTCGTAAGTTTATTAGCTCGAAAGACGGCACACTCGCGTTAGGTATACCAGGCTAAACTTCTTAACAAGGTTTCCGTGTAAACAACGGCTCTCGCTGCGCATAGTCAACTTTGCATATTCGAGAAAATAGATACATATATAATAGCGCAGAGGGAAATACGTCGATCATTGGATGCTACGGGGAAGCCATTAAAGTGGCAACTATAACTTGCGGCGCTTATATCTACCTGTTGTACATGTGTATAGGTATATAGGTGTACACATATATAATGTACGATATATGGTAGGGTAAAGGTATATAGGTGGGTGTATGAAAACCGACGAAATTCTATTAATTTGCATGCACTATACTACTCGAACCTCTCGAAGCAATAGAATAGAGACTAGCAGCCATGTATCTTTGAAAGAATATCGAGAAAACGTAGCGTTTTATTCGCGTAAATACGATCGAAGAATGGTTCTCATTAAAAATTCATCATCGATCGTTTCTTCGTGTGATCGTACATGCAGAGTACGAATACGAACGTACCATATTATCGGAAAAACTAAGATCAAGAACCTCTTAAAGGTTAACTCTTGATGAAATTTTCTTAATTGCTCTCTCAGTTGGATCCCTTCGAAAGAAAGATCGCTGAACCGAAAGATGCATGGAAATGTCAGATACGCGATATCTCGAAGTACATAAATCCTCCTCCTCTCTCTCTTTCTCTCTCTCTCTCTCTCTCTCTCTCTCTCTCTCTCCCTCCCTCTTTCTCTCTGTCTCTCTAAGATAAGATGTAATTCGACTATTTCTAAACTCGTCTCTTACGTCAAAAGCGTTCACTTTTCAAACTCTGGTCGACGTTCACCAATAATGTTTACGTCGACAAGTTTATCGATGAAAGTAGGCTTCTATTCGAGGCTTTTAGAATTGTTGCCACTTTTGTTCCTCTTTTCTCTCTCGCCGGAGAGTTGTCACAGCACGAGAAAGATAGGACAGATAGACGGAAAGTTTGTAGCCTAGACAAAAGGTATTGGAGAGTATTGAAAATAATAAATGAGAACGGAACAGTATGAAAACCAGAAAGAGAGAAATAGATGGGAAGAGAGACGTGAGAAAAATCGATAAATATAAATGTTTTAATGTTCGTAATAATAATACTAGTCGAAGGGAAAGAACAAAGGAGAAATAGTTAAGGGAGAGCTTAGGTCGTAAAGAAAGTGTGACGTCGATGCCAAAGGAATCGGGTTTCTTTTTTTCGAGGATCTTGCCTAATCGAAAAGTAAGCAACTATAATATATACTAAGGGAGAAAACCCTTCGCGAGGAGGAGGGCGACGACCAGACATTCGAGCCTGATAAATGAATTTCATCGAAGAAAGAATCGATATTGGCGCTGATGGATCAAAGGTGGTTCGCTCTCGTTGTAGACGAAGAGAAACGTCAGGGGAATAAGCGAGGTATATCGACGCCTACGTGCGTTCGCGAACGCCCGGCGAAAGTAAGAAGACGAAGGGGGAACACGAAACGATAGGATCGTGTCCTAAACGTATGGAGACGTAAACTCGTTTAAATACGTTTTGCGTCCACTTTAAGAAGCGACATAACTTAATCGGGCCGTATTAAAAGAAATCGTTGAAATTTACCGAAGGACTCCTGAGGAAGGCGTGCCGCGAGACGTCCGCTATCCTCGAGATCGGTCTCTCTCACACGCGCGCACCACCCCCTTTTCCCCACTTTCTCATTTAGTTCGAGACACCTTCCTTTCGGTCACAGAACGCGCACGAAATGTTCCTAAATCGTATCCGAGCGCGAGAAAATTCGCAAGACGAGTCAGACGCAAGACGATGTGACAGAGGCGGCAGGGTGCGAAGGATCTGGACAAGGTAGAATTGATACGTCTAAGTCTTGTGCGTGTGCGTGCGCGTGTGGATCCGTGTAAATGACAGAGATATGCAAGGAAAAGGAAGAAGTAGAAAATGGTCCGTTTGCTTTGTTAATTTCTTCTCGAGAAGAGTCTTCTTTTTTTTGCACACACGCACGCACGCACGCACGCACGGACGCACGCACGCACGCACGCACACACGCACTCGAGCAACTTTGTTCGCACGACGAGGAGGACGACGGCTCTACTACGGTTTCGCGACCTTTTCTACGAGAGAGAACAACCCCCGAAGAAAACAGGCTCGCCGTCCTGCGACGGTAGTGCCTCTACCGTCCTCGCCGAGTCTCTGCTATTTCGTCGGCAGATCGCGCCACTGGCCGTGGCGCCGGTCGATCGATCGCTCCTTAAACTCACGCACGGATATACTCTTTGAGCGCAAGCGCCTCGTCGCGACTTGCTCCGTAGATAAATATGTATCTTTTCTCATCCTCCGGCTTTATCTTTTCTCTTTTTCGTGACAACGAGGAGCGTCCGTCCAAGTAGTACGTAGACACGAGAGATATCGTTTTTGCCATTTCTACCTCTCTATAGCTCTTTCAAATTGTTGGACGAGATCTTTTCGATCGCATAGAATTCCAAGGTGCTATTGTCCTTGGAATTTCTTGGAATTGTCCCTTTCTCTTCCGTCTTCTTTCTCATCGACAACGGTGCTCGGGTAAGATGTCACGGGGGAAGTAGGTATATAACGCGTGGACCGAGATCAAAGGACGTCGTTTCGTCTCGCGAGTGATTCCTACGCGTTTACGAACGCGCCTTTTTTTCCTTTCTTTTTGTTTTTTTGTTTTTTCGCAAAGGATGAGAAGAACCTGCTCGGAGCGTATCCGAGACGCGTGTACAAGATTAGTAGCGAAAATTTCGTCTAATTAAAGGCCATTAGTACGCGTCCGAGCGATCTCTCTTCGACGTTAGAGTAGAAGAGTAGAAGAAGAACAAGACGAATAAGAGAAGAGGCGCGCTCGACAAAAGCGACGATTTAAACGTTTAAAGCTCTCTCTCTCTCTCTCTCTCTCTCTCTCTCTCTCTCTCTCTCTCACGTGAAATGAGAGTGAGTCATTCTCCGTATCCGTAAGATGCGACAGCACGTGGCGAGCGAGATATAACGAGACGCAATCCGTCCGAGGAAAATGGAGATCGCGCGTCCAGTCGAGTCTTTATCAATTCTATTTCGTTTTTCTAAAAGCAGCGGCTTAAAGTGTTGGAAAAGTAGTAAACGGTTAATAGACGGTCATTTTCTCGCTTACCTCTCGCGATCGTGACCGTAAGCGGGATTGATCCTACGCGCGTACAAGGAAGCGCCTCCCTCCGACATGTAACCGTCGCAAAGATCGGACAGAGTTCTACTGCCGACGCTCATACCACCTCGGAGAACTTCGCCGTCGCTAAGATAACCCGAGGCTATGTCAATGTCCGCGTAATCGTGAGAGACGTGATGATGAGAGGAGGAATGAAGAATCGTGTATTGTCGCGCCGTCGTTCTGCTCGGCAGGGTCTGTAGGGCTCTGGCACCGGGCGTGTAACCACGGAGAAGAGGCTGCATCGGCTTTACGGTCATCTCGGCTTCGTCGTCGGCCAACGAACCTCCGCCGCCGCTGCCGCTGCCGCCGCCGCCGCCGCCGCCGCCGCCGCCGCCGCCGCCGCCACTACCGCACGTTGAACCTTCTGATAAAACCTGCAGAGACAGAGAGGAGATAGAACGGAGAAGGGAGAAGGAGAAACTTTATCAATTATTGCCGTGAGAAGTTGACCGACGATCGAGATTAATAACGCTAAAGTACCTTTTCCATTTGCTCGAAGGTCGTGTCTATCTTTCGATTAGGTATCGTCTTGATCTCGCTACCGCTCTCGCTGCTCGGTCGGTAAATGACGCTGCTGTCGCTCGAATTACTTTGGCCCGTGCTATTGGAATTGCTATGAGAGCTCTCGGACATGAGATCGGAGATACTTGGCATCGGCGAGACCATCGCTATCGTATTTGGGTCGAGCTTGGCTCGATGCAAAATGTCGCCCTTGAGTTTAGTCGGGGTAGGCACGCTCGGTCCCGTGTTTTCTTTAGGTGGCTTCGAAGTACCCTTTACCAAAGCCGTTGGTTTTGGTATACTAGAACCCGGACCAGTTACGGACAGCGTAGGCCCCTGAAACGGGCCACCTAAGATCTGTTTTCCTTGTGGAAATGTATGGACGTTTGCGTTTTGTTGTACTTGACCCGTAGATGGTTCAGCAGAATTCACGTTATCTTCCTTGATCCTCGAATCTTTGCTTTCCGACGACGATCGTGTTCTTGGATCGTCGTCCCGAGACGAGCCCGGCTTCGATACGTTCGAGGAATCCAATCCATTCCTTTTGATCTCCTCCTCCACCCCATCTTCCGCCGTCGCTTCCTCCTCCTCCTCCTCCTGCTCCTCCTCCTCCTCCTCCTCTTCTTCCTCCTCCGGGGAGTCCATAGATACCCTCTCTTCTTCGCGAGTCGCACATTTTTGCACCTTCCACGGGGAAGAAGTACCGGATAAATTGTCCGAGATCGAAGAGTCCTGCTTTCGATTCGGTTCCTCATTCGACTCGGCCAAGTCGACGTTAATTTCCTTTTCGACGATCCTTTCGTAAGGTAAATTTGCTTGATTCATGCACTGCGTATGCCGATCGAACGGGCTAGGATTGTTTCGCGCGTTCGGAACGTTCGCGTCTTCCTGGTCCGTTCGCGATATGATTCCGTTCGCGTTAGATAGCAAATTCTTTTGTAGGAGCATATCCTTGTTGACTCCGTTCGGAGGTACCTTGAGAGCCTGTAAATGAACTTTCGGATCTGTCATCTTACCAGGAAGCTCCATCTTCGGCCGAGGCGTCGTTTGTTTTATCGACAGCTCGTTTCTACTAGAATTCGATATATTTTTGCTCTCCTGTTGGCTGATATGTTTCGCCGGCGTCGTCGACATCGGATTATTCCCTTTCTGTGATTGCGTAGACGAATGATTTTTCAATATATCTTGCAAGTTCGAGGTCTTCTTGTCCGCCGGTAGTTTAGCGCAAACGTTCGCAATCTTTCCACCTTCCCTTTTGACATCGTCCAACGGCAAATTCGTATAACCGGTCAGTTTTTCTGGTATCGATCCTTTCGTACGGGCGATCTTGCTACTCTGAGTCTTATTTTGTTCCTTCCTGACCGTCTTCGGGCTAGCCTGCTTAGCCGTCTGCTTGCCCGATTGCAATTTGGACTTTAACGCCCGACTCTTTGGCGGCTCGACTTGGATTCTACCCTGATCGTAGAGCGACGTAGAACTGTCCGAGTGTTCTGAGCGTGCCGAGGAAAAACCGGACGAGCTCGACGTACGCTTCGATACGCCTGACGTGGCCTTTCCCCTCTCTTGATTTTTATCTTTGTTGTTGAAGAGCTTGAACTTGTCGAGAACCGAGTTTTTGTTTTGCGCCGTGGAACTTCCACTGCCGGAATACGGGCAAGCCTGTGTCGTCGCCGTGGCCGCCGCCACCGCCGCCGCCGTCGTCGTCGTCGTCGTCGTCGTCGTCGTCGTCCTAATGCCACTAGGTCTGCCCACGGCTGACGTTCTAGGACTGAAAATTCAACGAAGGAAATTTAGACCCGCCGATTAATCGGTAATCATAATCTAAATTCTAAGCGTTTTATTATCACCTTGGGGTCCCGCCAGTGCCTTGCCGATTCGCGTTCTGACCCCTCGGCTGTGGAATGAAGGACAGACCGGTCTGCAGTGTCTGTTGTTGACTCGGACTGGTACTCCTCGAACTGCTCGCACTCCCCACACCGCCGTTCCCTTGCTTCAGACCTCCTGAAAGGTTAAAAATGCAAAAAGGATAACAACGAATCCCCTTTTCTACGTTCCAATACGTAGCTATTATTCCTCATTTACGAGACTCGTAGCCGCTAAACTCTACCAGTATTATCCGGTTTAGTCTCGGCGCGCGAGATTAATTCGTTTACACCATAGAGTCGACGGCGATCGTTTCTTTGGTCGCCGTCGTGTAAACGACTCGATAAAACGACGATACGAGCGCGGCCTTCTTGCCCGAGTACAATATATCGATAAGTGCTCGTTGTGCCGTTCTGAACGGAGTTTAAAACTCTTCCTGTAAAACTTACTCGGACTTACTCGTCTTTGATAAAATAATTATTCGAATAATAATCGCACGAGGTCGTTTTACGCGCTCGTTCGGCCGTGTTCTACGGTAACTCTTTCGATGGATAACTCTCGTTAAACGAAATAAACCTCCGCGTTGATATTTATACACCCTCCTAGAGTACCACTACCATCGGCCGCGTATGCAGATATTTCAAACGTTATCGATCGCTCGGGGGAATACACATCTATCGCGATGAGATTTCGTTCGATAGTAAACTTTATTCGCCGGTCGTTGTTATAAACTCTTCGTCCCGTTATAAAAGTTCAAATTGAGCGGAGTAAGCCGAATGGGAAATAATAAAAAGCAACGAGTAATATTAGCGAGATAGATTTAGCTAATCGGCCGATCGCTAGCCTTACGATATGAAATCGTAATTTAACGAGCCTCTATTTGAGAAGCACTCGGGCGTAATAACGGCGCGAATATCGTTTCTGCTTTATCAAGACGTTACTCTCGCTGACCGAGCTTTCCTCTCGCTTTACAATTTTCCCATAGTTTTCGCTTCGTTTGCGCCACGAGCTCTAGCAGAGTGAGAGCGAGAGAGAGAGAGGGAGAGAGAGAGAGAGAGAGAGAAAGGTCCGATTTGTAGTCTTTCGAACAAACTCGTCAACTTTTTCCTCGAAATTGAAAATACGATCTCGTCCACGCAACGAGCTATTGCTATCCTACCCTGATACTCGTAAGAAGCCTCTGACGAACGGCGTATTTGAGAAGCACTCGATAAAGGAAACGAATCGCGAACCGCGCATGAAATTACTTCATTTATATTTTTCTCGAGTATTTCTTTCCACGAATCAGACTTTTCACAATTTCATTCTTAGAAAATAAAAATGATTTCAGGGAACGGTAACATGGGTACCATATATCATGGATGCATCGAAAGTGAACTTTGACGCAAGTGTATTTTGAAATGGTACAAAACGTTCGTAGAAATTACCTCCAAGTTTGCCTTCTGTTTTCGTTATCGAGGAGACACGTGTCCGTCTCAACGGACGTTAAGCCGAGGAGTAGCGTTACCACCGACTACTACTCCCTAGCTCCTCGATTATCTTACAACGAACCGGTATCAAGGATTAGAAGAGCCCTTATACTTTCCGTACTGCTCGAGACATTTTCTCTCTCGCTTCAACAGGCACGCAGGCAGCAGACACATTACGCATTCTCTACAGTTCGGACTCTAGACTCGGTCGATGACTAAGCCCTCTTTTTCAAGGAAGAACTTATTATCGGCTAATCGTCCGTCTGATCCATTGTAAAAGTATCCGTTAGGATGCTTCTCTCATTGTTAATGGGTACACATTTACGATAACGATCGGGCGCGTAAAAATGTGAAAGCTGCATTCCAAATATTTCAAAGTTTATACATAGATATATCTATCCATGTATGTACAGCGACTCGGCAATTCCCTTAGAAACGTTCTCGATCGCGAAGATACGTACAAGTTGGTCCAGCCCTCGGTCGGTTCGGTCGTCCTCAAAAAATCAATTTAATTTCGATGTGGGCTCGGTCAGCTGCGTTTTTTCTCTCTTCTCATTGTCGGAGAAGCTCACGCACGTGCGGCCGTCAATAGGAATTAGCACGAGGGTTGTCTCGACAAAGCGTCCGTTTCTCGCCTCTCTCTCTCTCTCTCTCTCTCTCTCTCTCTCTCTCACTTTCTCCCGTGGGATTCGAAGCAAAGTCCCGAAGGGTGTCACACTGACGATCGTGACTCACCCATCGACTCGAACACATTCTATAAGTTCAGCATCTTTCCCTTCTTTCTTACGTTGACATATTCAAACTCGTTTCGAAGGATTAGCCGAATCCAATCCACATCTTCCTCCCAAACAAAACAAAGTAAGATGATCCACCTTCAGGTAGAAGTTTCTAAGAGGATTAAAAAAATTAGAACCAAGCATTTTTTGTTTCAAGATGAATATTCGAATCTCGAATCGCTTAATAAGGAACAAATAAATTGGATAAAAGAATATATAAAGCTGACATATTGTTGTAAATAAACTAGGCTAGGTATTTCTACCGAAAAGACAATAAGATTCCTTCGTTGCCTCGATGAGGCCTATTTCCGTATAATGACACCGACGAGTCTGGAGCGAAGGGCAGAGAGAGAGAGAGAGAGAGAGAGAGTTTAGTGGTAGGTAAACAAGACAAGAAGGGTCTCGGTCGTTGGAAGAAAAACGAAACAAAAGCATACATATGTAGGTACTTGCTCACCGATCTCGTGTCGTTGTCGAAGAAAGCGAACCGTTGCCAACGTCCTCGTCGTCGTCGACGTACCACCACCCTCGCGAACGTTCCTCTCGCGTACGAATCGTACGCAAAACATTTCCTTTTTCCCGCGGGATCATGAACGAGTTGACGTTCGGCGAACGACTGCTTGGAAATTTTACGATGACGAAGGAAAGCGTCGGTTCTCTCTCTCTCTCTCTCTCTCTCTCTCTCGGGTTTCTATCCCTGTAGCAGTAGTCGTGTTCGAAAGCACGACGTCTATAAGCCGTGTAAAAACCACGCGAAGGCCCTCGACGCGGATCGCAGCGCGACGCTGCGAGAGTACCTGTGTCTCGATGCGACCGAGCGAGTAAGCGAGAGGGTGAAAAAAGCCGATGGAAAATGAAACGAGAGAGAAAGGGAAAGAGACCGACGGTACACGCATGTATAAAGGAAAAAGGTAAAGAGATGAGAGCATGTATATGGGCAAGAGAAAGGGGGTGGGTGGGTGGGAGACTGAGAGGAACACGAAGAGGGATGCCAAGAGAGAAGACGAGGAAGGGATTCAGTTCTTTTTGGCCCTCACCCTGTACGGCCGTTATTTTCTCTTCGCTTCTCCATTTTCCGTCGTTCAACACCCGTGTCCGCCTGGCAAATATACCAGCCACTATATCTATACTATGATATATCACAACTTTTGCCTATTCCCATGCGTACGTATTTATGTGCCTTACTTTATGTATATACTCAATTCCGATAAAATCTCCATCTGTCCGCAATCATCATCCGTGATAGGGACTAACGAAAGGAGCTTTGCTTGCCTATTTAACTAAATAATTGAGGGCCCGCGCGAGAGTTTTCTCTCCGTCTACGTTTCTATCTAATGCGAGTAATATTGTTATTCGGGATACGTACTTGAGATATGGCGTGATGGCACTCGTCGTTGATATTTGTTTCGTCGGGTTACTATGAAAGAAAAGAGAAAGGAAAAGAAGACGAGCAAGGGGAAGAGGAAGAAATTCGAATTAGATTCGTCGTGCACATGTGTAGACGCGTGAAACCGTTCTCGCGCACACCTGTGCTCGCGCGTCGCGTCGCGAAGAAACTGACTTTATAATTTCCGACGGCTCGTTTATCCTCGCACGAGGAGTGCGCGAGAATTCGTTATACCAAAGAGACGTGATGTCCTTAAAAGCGGAAACGTGTGGGTGCGCGTGTCGCGACGGCACATCTCGGCCAACGAGATTAAGCGTAGCTATGAACGTAGTATAATACATCTACGGTAGGTAGGTAGAGGTACGCGAGCCAGGTTGAAAAAAGACGCGGAAGTACGCGCATGCTCTGCCTACGTTCCAAATCCAAACCGATCGACGGAGAGTCGACTGATACGGGTATTTCATCTTCTGGATCTCTTCAAAGAGTCTTTACAATTCATTCAGCCGCTCTCGAACGCTTTCACTTTGATTTACGAATTAGAAATTAATTATTTCTCATTACGATTTTATACGATTTAGTATATGATTTTAGCTAATCGAAACAGAAGAACGCATCGTTTCTATAAGTATCCAAGAGGAAGCGAACTATATTCCTTACTTTCTCGGCTGAGAAAAAGCGCAGAGAGAGAGAGAGAGAGAGAGAGAGAGAGAGATCCGGTGCGAATAAAATTTCCATAGATACGACTCAAATTCTCTCTCGTCTATCCTTTCGATATGTAGTAGTGCGACGATGATATTCCAACGCGCAATAGTCGGACAAAGGAGCGCAGCATCGAGGGTAGTAGACGGGGTGGAAAGCGCTTTTCTAAAGACACAAATTACATCGCGTATGCGGTCTCGATGTTCTCGCTGTCAACGACGACGTACCCCTGCATCCGTTTTACACCACTGCACTCCACGAATACGAACGTCAATGTTGAAGACTCGCTATCTGATAACGTACATAGACTACGTACATCCATATTGTCGATCATTAATTCGATAAATCTTTTCCTTTTTTTTTTTTTTTTTTTCTTTATAGCATACACACCGCCGACGTATACGTACCCATCTACGCAAGTGTGTTATTTCTATACAATTATTAATAATATTTAATAAAAAAGATTGATTTTCAAGAAATGTCCTTTCGTGCCGTCGTTAATCGCAACTTTTTACCGATCCTGAATAAGGAGGAGAAAAAAGACAGGAGAGACGGTTGAGATCGTGAAAAGGAAACGAATCGCTAATAATAAACGCGATATTTATGCGGTACTTTTGAATCATCCTGTAAAACCAAGGCGACCGGCCGGCCCTGTTCGCGCTAAAAGTTACTTCGACCCTGACTTTTCTCTCTCTTCTTGTGTCGCGAGTCGACTTACTTTTCTTTTTTTCCTTTGCACGCCCAGCGAGAACGAATCATCGCCAGTAAGATTCTCGAAACCTGTAGCACCAAACCGGTAGAGGAAAAATTAGTATAGGGTAGTATTTTTAACCTATACGAAAAAGGGAGAGAGAGAGAGAGAAAGAGAAAGGTACACCCTGGGAGAAAAAGAATGAGCACGTGCGCGCGCGCGTGTGTATGTGTGTTTGAAGAAAACACGAGGGAGGAGAAGAGGGAGATTTAAGGGTCGCTGAACATTCGGTCAGTGGTTCTTTCTTGTTTTTATCTTTACGTAAAATCACGATCGTTGTATAACGTCGATCGAAAATATCAATTCCAATAAGCTGTTCAATTTTTATTAGATTTCATATCGAATAATTTTACGAAACGTATTCTAATCTTCTGTAGTAAAAACATTATTTTGCGATCAAGATCCCGTTGTTCGAACATAAGATTGTCAATTTGGAAATTAACGTACGATTTTACATACATAATACAATGGGAGATATAAAGTAGGCGAGATAATATCATTTCTCTTTTCAGTTCTTACTCATCCGTGGTAGATTTTGAGGTGAGAATCACTGATATTCCTCGTTCGCTTTTTGGGGTTAAAGACCGGTTGCGAGTCTTACGTGTGCCCGCGTTCGTGATTTCACGGCTTGAATTTTCTCTCGTTGTCTTTCTTGGCCTTCTTTCTTCCCTTTTTTCCATCATGGCCCGTTTACACGGAAAGAAGGAAGCGCAACGAAAGACAGTTTATATCGCGGACGGATACGACAGCACGTTTTCTCCCCTTGGTGTTTCATCCTTTGGGGTAGATTCCTATAGGATTACCGAGCTTAAGGTGAGATCACAAAGAATATAAACTATTTCATACTTTTCGACTATTTCAACTATTTCTTTCTCTTTCTCGTTCGCGCATATATACTAGGGCACTATGAGTGTATACTTTGGGATAGCCCAAATGGTAGATTTTTGTCGGCATCAAAGAGCAAGGTCTAGCCGTATATCTTACGAGATATGAATTATTTCACGTTTTAATAACCTTTATCGTGTCCGATAAAATTTATTTCAAAACAAAACGGTCGCAACGAGTTTTGTAAAAATAATCTTTAAAGTTGTAGGCGAGCCACAAGTACGAATATATCTGTGTATTTATGAACGGCGTTAGTACAGATTAAAATAAACGGCCGTCACGCAATGAGTTTGCATTCGCTCGAAAACCGACTTCTTTTTAACGCTTCTCAAAGAAGATCCTATCTTCGTGTTCCGTCCGTCGCGTGCTCCGTTTCGAGGTCAACGAATAGCTTGCTTTCGAATCCGGAACGATGCGTTGGCTGTTAAGGGGATATTCTCTTTTACAGAGGCTCGAGCCTATCGTTATTACTTGTTCTGTTTTTCTTTTTTTTCTTTTTTTTCTCTTTTTTTTTCTTTTTTTTTTCGAAGCCCGCCAAGAATGTTCTTCAAAATTTCATTGGCTCTCGCATGGAGCTCGCAACGATCATCTTAATCGTACCATTCAACAAATTCGATAGACCGTTGCGATCGGATTGTGGGTGCGAGGAACGTTGGCAAAGTTGCAAGAACAATAGGACATATTCATCGAGCAACGAGACGAGATCGAGCAAAGAAAAATGCTCGTGATTCGTTCGTGGAGCAATAGATGGTTGGTTACTTGTAGGAAAGAAGGTGTACGAGGCGACACGCGAGGTGTTAGCCGTACGCGCGTGCGCTCCTCTCTATCAGACCGGCCCTAAACTCTCTAGCTAGAAAGGCCGCTGGTGAGGGTCCGTTTCGTAGCAACTTTGAACGCGCCGTAGCACGTTCGTAGTTCTACGTTGCGCCGCAGCTATCAGAGTTCTCTTGGAAAGGGCCAGAGGCACGCGCACTTTGATAGCTGGTACGGCATAGGCGCATCCCCTTAAAACCTCGGCTCTGATAGAGACGCTCAACCATGTAAACAAAGGATCGTTAGCGCGTTAGGTTCGATCACGTTTGTCAGAATCGGAATAACGAGGGAATAGAGAAGTAGGATATATAGAAATCTACGCGTGTCTACCTACTTAATGTCTCGTTCTTGTCGGTTATTTCTTCATATATCACGTATCTCGAACGAATCGATCGAACGCGGACGATAGGAAGAGAGAAAGATAGAATTGAGTACCGCTGTAAATCGGCCTGCACATCTGGCCATGAACGCCCTGGAAACGTGGGAGTCGAGGGTAAAGTATATAGTATGGGGTGGCACCCCATTTCTCTCTCTCCTGCGAGTACCAACTACCTACGAACGTTCACCTACACAATGGATGTAGGTAATATCTCCGTGCGTATGGGCTAAGCAATGCGAGATAGGGGAACGCGAACGTAAAGCACGCAAGCGCGCGCGAACACACACAAACACAAAATACAGCACGTGCAGGCAGCAGTCGTGAAACGATCAGAGTGCGTGAGAGTCCATATATTTAAAGAAGAGGACGAATATCTCTCGCGTACCCCTCTAACTCCCTGTTTCCATGGTGGTCCGGACGTTTTCCTGCAGCAGTCAGAAATGTGCAAGGGGTTGCTAAAAGCAACCTCTTCGTAGACTACTCGCTGGCTAATGGTCTCTTTTTAACTTTCGTTAACTCGATATCGATACCTAATTAACGCCAATCGACTGTCGAAACAAAGTTATTTTTCTTGACCTCTTGATAAACAGAGAGAGAGAGCGAGAGAGAGAGAGAGAGAGAGAGAGAGAGAGTCGTTGCGAGTCGACAGAATATGAGCTCGATGCGAACGTCCATGAATATCTGTTCTATCGACTGACAGTAAAGACAGTAAAAGAGATGATAGAGTGGAACGTACGAGGATGAAGCGAGAGAAAGAGAGAGAATATCGCGAATGAGAAGCCTGTTGACGGAAGAGACGAGTCGGAGGAGCAACCAGACGGGCCGTCAACATCAAGAGAGCATGCTCGAACGATATCTCTCGCCCGTAGTAACCGTTGGATGGAGTCAGCTGCTAATGACTTTCCATTAAAAGCAGCTTGCACGAATAGGATGAAGAAGGGTCGACCAAAAAAAAAGAAAAAAGAGGGAAGAAAGAGAAAGAAAATATGATCTCGTTGGGCTTCCCTTTTCTCTGCATTCTCCCTCTCCCCCATCCTCTCTCTCTCTCTCTCTCTCTCTCTCTCTCTCTCTCTCTCTTCCTCGTGCCTTTTATTTCATAGCAGGCTTTCACCTTGCTGCGCCCATGCCCCGTTACTGCTTCAAGCTCGATGATATTTAAGGTGCTCTTCTTGCGGCTGACCAGTCAAGTGGCAACGCGCTAACGTGCCTTTGTTTTAACCCTCGCCATCGAGAATCCTACGTCGCAGTCTCGTTATTTAGTCGGAAGCGGACAAACGGGAATAATTTCAATTCTTGCGAATCGAACGATCATTCCTTATCGCATTGCAGAGTGACGGGCAAGATAGAAATGTGTAAGAGATAAGTTATATAAAGAAAGTTACAAGTTATAAGTTATATATAGAAACTTACCAAGAGGAGACTGATGCGTGGGAGCTGGGGCAGGTCTGACTTTGTCCGGAGGACATCGTCTCGTTGCGGCCACCGTCGCAGGTAAAGGTATGCTCGTCGCACCCCCTGGCCCAACCCCGGCACCACCACCGACACCCGATTGCTTGTTGTACGGTGATGGTAATCTGAAACGCAGAATCAAGGAACATTAAAGAATTGATTTTTAACGTCCATAAGAATCCGTAAGAGGTGTTCTTTTTGAGATTGCCTGTAGCTTAAGAATTACACGTACAGCGCGATATCTCTTGGACCGAGTAAGTACTTTCTTGACACGCAACTTCCATTCTCGTTTCTCGTTTTACGCGCGAGCCTAATTTACGAGCCACCGCGAAGCTAACGTATATACGGACACCCACGTAGTCGAGAAAGAGCCGTGGACGTAGACACACCTTGCGCATTCTTTCTATTCGGTGACATCGGGGGACACCCTGCGGACTCTTGTACAACCGACGTTTCTTGTACGACCGACCGATACGAGAAATTATTTCATTATTTATACTTGGGAACGATCGATCCCATCGACAGACACTATATAATCATAACCACTATATAATGTTAATAACGAAACTCAATGCCAAATCGGAAGAGGCTTTTATCCGAGCTGAATCTATTGGAAGGAAAGGTAAGTTTACGTAAGAATACGTATATCGTCACACCCTGTCGAACGCAGAGTCGTTCGATCGGTCTAATTCGTCGAACGGGCTCGGTGCGGAACGGTGCAACGGTAAATCATGCGAGATATTGGGGATAATTGTTGGTGATAGGAGACGGCAGCGAATGTCAGGCCGGTTCTCGGGTCCAGTTTGCGACGAGAAGAGACGATAATGACGACGACGGAGAAAGCACACGAAGCAGGAGCGAGCGAGCGAGCCAGAGAGAGAGAGAGACAGAGAGAGAGAGAGAGAGAGAGAGAGAAAGCGGGTGTTGCACGTTGCGTTTTAGCTCTCGAGAGATAAATTTAGATAATCTTGAGAGAAAAAAAGGACCGAGTGCTTCTAGGAAAACCGAGCCGTTTAGCTACCTACGCCGGATGATGCTATTATAACGAAGCTTCGTCGTTGTTTTTCACCCTCAACACTGGATAACTATTCGTCGTACTTTGTTTCGACAAGACGATCGACTCCAGACTCGAAACGATCACCGTTCTTTGTTCCCTCTTAATCCTCTCTTTTTATTAAAGGGGGGCTCCTCGAAATTCGAATAATCGCCTTTTCATACAGAATTAAGAGCTTTATACTTAATAATATTCATAATGACGACTTTTTATCGTTGAATAAATGCAACGTATCAAACTATGTTTTGAGTTGAATCTCTTCAACGTACATACTTGACGTAATTTCAGGAGAAAAAGATAAGTTCTATCAACGCGAATACTCGAATATACTTCCTCGAAAATATATTACCAGTCATAATTTCAATAGCTTATCTCATTTTCTTCCTGTCGGATCAATAACGAAAGCGTTTCAAAATGAAATTCCCCTTTGTCGAGCGACAAAGAAAAAAATTTATTCGCAATGTCATAATCCCGTTTCGTTCCGTTCTCGATGAGTTTTAATATGCGTCAAGCCCCAAGGCAAAATGCTCACGCACGCTCCTTCACATTCTTCCTAATGCATCAATAGTTTTACACAATATACTTATGCTCTTTAAAGTTGAACTTGAGATCTTATTTGAGAAGACAATTTTTAGGCACGCAAACGACCGCGTATTTCATTCTCTTTCAAATTTTCCTTAATGAAGTAATTAGTCTGGAGAGTATAATAAAGAAGGTAATGAAATTAAAGGAAAAAAATGTTGTACGCTCGAGGTTCATTAAAGCAGGTATATTGCCAAAAATCGAAGAAAAAAATAAAAGTATAGCTCGATCTTACTTGTTGGGTAATTCCCGAATGAGCGATCCTCCATTATAAACGAATTCTATACAACGATCCAACGTGTGATCTTGAAGATCTCTCTCTCTCTCTCTCTCTCTCCCTTTTTTACTCGTACGTCTTTTTCGCTCTCTCTCTTTTTCTGCGAAGGATCTATTTCTGCGACCATTCACATTGAAAACATTGAGTCACTCTCGGAGTCGGTGATGTCTTTGAACTCGCACGCTAAATAAAGAGAAGCGCTGACGGAGCGAGCGAGCGAGAGAGAAAGAGAGAGAGAGAGAGAGAGAGAGAGAGAGAGGGAGAGAGAGCGCGTGAAATAATCGCACGAATCCCGGGCATAAATCAGCGAAATCGAGTGGCCTCGAGTGACAAAAAGCCACTGGAGGAGGACACGAAGGGCGACGACGAAAGAGTAGAAAAAGATGCATGCCTCGTTACACTTGTCTCTCTCCCTTCCACTCACTCTCCATATTCTTATCGATGAAATTTCATTTCTTTCTAATAGATATTATTCCATCTTTCTTCTTCTTGGGCACGATCGAGCGGAAAAGTAGAAAATGTCGAGGCTTGCCAATCTTTCATCTTGAATTCCTTCATCTCCTTGGAATTTCTAAGGAGACTAGATCGAGGACAAACAACTAGTGCCAACGTAACTACCATGCCAAGCATTCAAATCGGTGCTCGTCATCGTAATTGAGAATTTCGATAGGTCGAAGGAATCGGAATCTTGCCTTCGGATCATATTGAAATTCTTTCCTTTCTGACGCACGAGAGATCGAAGTGAAGAAGGGAGTTTGTCAAAGGAAAAAATGCGAGCGAATTTGAAAAGGATTCATTTTGAAAGAAGAACGACGCGCACTTGGTGGTAAAGATTCGAGGAACATGGAAAACGCGTCGAAGCGTGTTTCGACGACGGTGACGGCGACGGCGACGGCCAAGGTCTAACCGGTCTTCTCGACGACCCTCCAACGAGAAGAGAACGAACGAGCTAGCTAGCGAGCGAGCGAGCGAGCGAGCGAGCGAACGAACGAACGAACGAACGAACGAACGAACGACAAGCAAGGAAGAAAGGGAGGGATCTGGTTTTCCTTCTCAATATAGATCGTAGCAGAGGGACTTTGCGTGGCTCGATTATTACGCGCCCACGCCCGCGCGTCCCTTACCACAGCACCATCCAGCAGCAACCCCTTACAATCGCCAACTGTCTACTCTCACAAAAGAGCCGTCTTTGGACGCTCGCGCGAGTAACAAAGAATCGGAATACATAAGCCGGGATAACGACGTGAATTTGGAGATAAACGATCCGATTCCGACGTTTTATTACATAGGAAGAAGCAAAAACTATAACCAATTTTTTTTTTTTTTTTTTTTTTTTTTTTTTTATATAAACGCTCGATACGTTTTGACAGTTGGCTAATAAGAAGAATATCATTTTATAACCGCAAATCAAATCGAATATCGATGGAATTCGACAAGGTGGCTCCATGATACAAGAAACGATGTTGGGAAGGAAAAGCGTTGTTGAATAGGTTATACATTCTAGTCGTAAAAAAAGGGGGGAAATAGTTTCGACTCCGATCACCAGCTGCACGTTGTTGAGTTTTTAAAGGACGTTCACGTTTTGTATTACCATCGTCAAGCGCAGCTGTTATTTCTAGTGGCAGTCTTGGTATTATCGTTGCTACGATCGAAAGCGATACAGCGGTTAGAACGCGATTGCGTTGATATTCGAAAGAAATGGCGGGCCGACGCGGTGCATAAACGCATATTAATTCTCATCTTGGATTCCACGTAGGCATCTAAGTTGTTTCGTCGTAAGAGTAGTAACGTGAGACTAGAACGCGCGAAATACAAAAAGAAGGAATACCTGTGAGCTTCCGGCGAGTTCGGCAAGCTTCGTGCCTTTCTGCTGTTGCCGCTGCTTCCACTGTTACCCATATCGAGAGGACGCCTGCCGAACTTTATCGCCGAACGCTACGACGACTCCTCGTCGACAAAAGGGAAAGATCGAGAGTGGATCGATCGGTCGATCGAGTCGCGAGAGGAAATGCGATTAAGCACATTAGACGACGGGTCGTAAGGAGAGAGAGACCGACCGACCGACCGACCGACCGACCGACCAACCGACCGACCGACCGACCGATCGACCGACCGAACGACCGACCGAACGAACGAATACAACGATGCTAGAGAAGAGCTAGTCACGGAGGCGGCACACTATCTTCCGATCACTTCACACTCGAGGCTGTTCGATTAGACGATAACAAAAAAGTATGGAACAACTTTTCCTCCCTCCCCTCCCTCTCCTCCCTTTATTCTCTGAGAGCAAGAACGTACCGGAGATGTCGCGCAACGATTTTCCTATCGATGGAACCAACGATTCGGACCGATCAAGACCGTCGTCCGACGACGAAGACGAATCTCTCGCCGACTACCGAACATCTTTGCGGTTAAGGAATAATAGTTAATCCGTCGTAAATCGTTAAGTATGAAAGGCGAAACGTTATGAAGAACACGACGACTCCGTACGGCTGTTCATGGTGCGGCCATGGTGCGTAGGCATCGTTGATGGCCCGTTTCAAACTGAGGCCCGAGAGAACACCATTCCCGTTCCCCCGTAGCACGTGGCTTCTCTCTCTCTCTTGACCGCCTCCGCCGCCGCCGCCACCGCCACCACCACCACTCTCTCTCTCTCTCTCTCTCTCTCTCTCTCTCTCTCTCTAGCATGAGCTTCGCCGAGTTTCCCCACCATCACCCTTTACGATAGTTCCGCTATCCTGCATCCTCTCTCCTGCGACTGCAGCTCCCTCTCTCTTTTTCTGTCTCTCGTTCGGTCGGTCGGTCGGTCGGTCGGTCGGTCGGTCGGTTGGTCGGTTGGTCGGTCGGTCGGTCGGTCGGTCGGTCGGTCGGTCGGTCGTAGCGTCGTAGCATCGGTCAAACCTTTGCAACTCCGCGTATGCAGCGACTTTTCCTCTCTTCTTCTCGCGTTATCTGTCCTTCCTTCTCCAACGAATACCCATTTCCTCAACTCCGATCGTCGCGAATCTCTGTGCCGATCGGCGGATTCGTTTCTTGAGCCTTCTGCCCTTCTGACCACTTCGTACTTCATCGTTCTCCTTCGTCCTTCTTCGTTCTCCTTCGTCCTCTTTCGTCCTCCTTCGGTCAGTAGCACCATGTTCCTTTCCCTCGCCGAGCTGCTCGCCGCGCTCTTTCGATATCGCTGTGGCAATTTTAAAGCCATTTTTATGCTAACAAACCGCTCCTTCGCTTGGGCGCCTGCGCACGTGACCTTCCTTCCTTCCTTCCTTCCTTCCTTCCTTCCTTCCTTTACTCCAGGAGAAGACTATTATTACGAGCGTGGGCGCACCTCGCTCGTAACAATAATATTTCCTCCTTCGTTGGCAACATTTTCTTTTCGTTATATCTCTTCAACGTTTCCCTTTTAGAGCGGCTTTTTGGTATCTCTCGTCGAGGGGGTAAGTACGGCCAGGCGATTTCTCACATTCGACATGCTTACCGATCTAGGAGAACCATTTGGCACGCTTCGAATAAACGTCGTTCCATCTATATCCGTGGTATACATGTGCGTCTACCAGGTCGCTATCGGCTTTTGCGTAAAATCCGTAAATCGTTCCCAGGTAAAATAAATTGAAATAGCTCGTTTCGAAAGTCGTTATTTCGAGACGGAATGCTTCGTGTCAAGGGAAGAGAACGTACGTTATGAGAATGCGTATATGCGTTTTAATATCGTACGCACGGCTCTATTAACGCTCGCGTTAATGAGCACTCGTGCTCGCGCGCCTTGGTCGTTAGGTACCAAAGAAACCTTTGCGCGTATCGATCTGCCGTTGGGAAGTAAAAAGTTAAGCTCGCGACATTTCGTTGCGTTAGATTAAACCTACCTCGAAGATATTTCCTAAGATACATTTGCGGAAACGACCATTCGCCGAGTATTATTTTATCCTTCCTCGAGCAGAACTCCTCGAGGGAGCGAGTCGTCGATTCGCTTTGACGCACGAACGCGAATCGAATTTCAAAATCATCCCTAGTTTGGATCATTAAGGAATTCCTCGGCTCTGGGACGGCTTTTCTTTCTTTTTCTTTCTCTTGATCGCGTGGGTGACCCCTCCCTTCGCGTCTAGAGCATATAATCGTAATAATAATCGACTCTGGCGAAAGGTCGATAACGTCTTTGTCTTTGTTCGATGGAAATATCTGAATGGCGATCGCCTTCGCGAAAACCAAAGGAATCTTTTAATTCCTTCGTAATTAACGGAGAGACGCGATTCTTAAAAACGCGTTCTCTAAAACTCTAAGGAAAGAAGGACCCCGTTACTAAAGTTGAACGAAACGAGAATCCTCCTATGCTTCGATTCACCTTCCATTCGTTTAAATTATCATGCCAACCGTACTTCCTCTTTCTCGAGAATTAAAGGAGATGACATATATTAAATTTACGTAGTCGAATAGAATCTCCTTTTCAATTCGTTTTTCTAGAAAAATCTTTTTTCTGGAAAAAAAGAACATTTCTCGAGGATCGCGTCGGCACCATAAAGAGCGAGAACGTTCGTGAAAGAAAAAGAAAAAAGAAGAAGGAAAAAAAAAGACATATTATGCCTTATCTCTGCGCTTCTCTTTATACTAATACATTACGAAATCGCATAATTATCGACCATCCGAGAGACTTTCTTCTCTCGAGAAAATGAATCGACGAGATGGGAGACCTCGTACGTGGTTTCCAATCTTCGTTTCATCGTATTCCATCGTACAGTACCGTGGATCGATCGTCGATAAGAAAGGATATCGGAAGACGATTGATGATTATACTCTGTTAGCGATCGTCGATAAAACGACGACGTCGATAACAACGAACTTTTCCATACCTATGTCGAGCGCCGGTAATATTGTCGGTAGATTTCTACGTTATCTCGGGCTCGATAGCGTACGACGAATTTACCTGGGCATATCTTGAAGTTGTTTCGCTCTTTGCTTGTAGCGCGAGAGGGCGAAGAGCAGGGCGAGGACCGGCCAGAGGGTTGATCCTGCCGCTAGTTCTCCAGGATTCACAGCCCCCACGTCTGCCCCGAGCGCTCGGAGCGCTCCCACGCACAGGTTCACGTTCTCGACCTGCGCAACACAACGAGCAAACCTTTATGATCGATCATGAAAGAAGATGGGAAAAGATGAAAATGCGAGCGCGTGAATCACCGAGCTTTGTCACCTGCCTATCTAATCGGAAACATTCTTATATACTTAAGGCAGTCTACTTTTTGCCTACAAATAAGAATATTTACTTTAGATCACTTTAATATTCCCATCGAGCAACCATTGCTAATCTGTCAAGTCTTAATCACGCTTATTTCGCATTTACGAATGGGGACGTACGTCCGTTCACCGTGGCATAATCATCGATCGAGTCACATATATTCCCTGTAATCCATATTAATCGAGTGGAATAATTACTCTCGAACATCGAGGCGAAACGTAGTCGACGAGTTAGAGACGACGAGGCCTTTACCAATTGCTACCATATTCAAATTGTTCTCCTTCTCGTCTCTGGACGGCTGAAACCGATCCGTTGCCACATGGACGAATCGAGAAGCCGTTATCTACGCTATCGAATCGTTTGCTAGACGAATGAAAGAAACAAATGTCAGGTCTTCTTCTTTCATCCAAACGATGCCACTATGGTCCCTTGCAAATACGATATACGATATATATTTGCACGCTAAAGATCGTATCGTTATCGACGTGTCAACAATGGCTACGGACGGTGGGTACACGTAATATAGGGACGGGCAACAGGTACGTACATATGTACGTGCGTGCATCATACATACATACATACACACATATGTGTATATAAAACATAGGCTCGAACCTATGCATTTGCTCGGTCGGTCACCCACAACGTCGGCTAATTACGACGACTCTCGAGTAAGAGAAGAGCCAGTACAACGGAGTAAGAAATATAACGAGAGTAAGAAATATAACACGAGATTTGTTTCAAACGATCGCTATCCGAACATCTCGCTGTACATTCATAGCTGGTACAGGAGCGTTACACTCGAAACTCGTACTCGGTGGTGGTCTCTTAACACAAAGGGACACTCTCTCGTGTAGAGAAGCTTCCACGAAACGTGACCACTGTGGTCATGGGCAGTATCGTGGTACTACCACCTTGTACTACGTTGCACGCGCGCGCTTAGTAGTACGCGGAGAAAGAGCTAGATAGATAGAGGTAGATGGGGGAGAGAGAGAGAGAGAGAGAGAGAGAGAGAGAGAGAAAGAGTGCTCTTTTGTCTTCGACGTCGGTGTCGGCTTTTACCCAGAAAACGAAGCGTGCTTGCACGGGCCACGATGATGACGACGCGACACAACGAATAAGAGGAGGAGGAGGAGGAGAAACGTCGACGTACCGATACCACCGACCCTCTTTCTCTTCTCTCTCCGTTGTTGGTAAGGAAAGTGTAGACGCACGCGAAGAGTAAAGGGAGGGAGCGAGATGACTCACCCGATGATATCCTCCCGGGTGCTCTGCGCTCGCGCGCAACAGCTAGGTGAGCCAGGACTGTGCCCGTTGGCTCGTATAACGCGCAGCAACTATATACGCGTCTCTCTTGGCCGCGCGCGCGTCGCTCTGTAAACACGTACATACGTACTTGTTGGCCGCTTTAAGTGTTACAGAACATTTTCAAACACGTACGTATCTACGTGTAAATAAGACTATCGATTTATATATTACGCAATATTTTCATATGCGATTCAGACCGATCGTTGAAAAACAAAGGAAAAAAAAATAAATAAATAAATAAAGTACCCTTCGATATTCTCCCGTTTATATCGTCTTTCGAGTTTTGTTTTTTCTTTATATATCCGTAAGGAGTACTTCTCGTATCGTCTTACGACTCTCTCACATCCACGCGAGATGACAGCCGTAAATGGCGATGGCGCGATCTCTTTTTAATGCGTTCCTTCTGTCTTTCAAATACATTGGCTCGCTACGACGACGTCGAAAGACGACGTCTTGGCCCTTTTTATTTAACCTCTGCCTTTTCCTCGAGCTTCCTCTCTATCGAGATCTCACGCGGAATCGAGGTAGAGCAGCAACTCGTAAAGGAAAGAACACGAAGTGAATTCTGATAACGAGGAGATCGTGAGACGACTCGAAAGTTTCTCATCGAAAGTCTCTCTACCATAGATCGATGATATATCTTTTATCTCTCCTATAAATCAAAAGCCGAGGAATCGTCAAAGAGGGCGAGATAGGAACATCTTTGATTCTTATTATTACGGGTCAATTAAAAATAGCGCTCGATTTACACGAATGGTCGAGGATATATAAGCGAGAAAGTCTGTGTGCGAGAGAGAACGCGCGAGAGTCCGCGCAACCAACTCGGGAAAAGAAGGAGAGCGCGTACGGAGAGAGAGCTCCAAAGATGGCCAGAGATGTCCCCTTATGGTAACGTCTTGGCTTCTCCCAGCGGACCGGCTCGGTGGAAGGAGAGGAGAGAGAACGAGAGAGAGCGAGAGAGAGCGAGAGAGAGCGAGAGAGAGCGAGAGAGAGAGAGAGAGAGAGAGAGAGAAATGGGAAAAGAAGAATTGCGCATAAATCGGCAAGCTGCATTTTTCTTCTCCCTTTCATACGCCGACGCGTAGCCGCGATGCCGCTGCTACGCCTACGAGACGATGACTATCGAGAGAAGCGTGCCTAAGAATAAAATGGAGATGTAACTCTCGCTAAAAGAAGGTTTACGCCTCATCGAGAGCGTCCCAAGATCACTAGCGGGTGGAAACGTTTAAACGAGCGAGTTCGGTTCTTCGAGCCGGAAGACCGGCTCCGTTCTACATATACTATGTAGCCGTTCTACATATACATATGCAATATGTAACGTCGAGAATGGCATAGAGAAACGAAGCCAGTGGGGAAAGGCAATAATTGCCCTGCGGATGCCTGCCTGCACGGATAAATGTCTTCGCGAGGGTCCTAATTGAGCATCCCACTCGAAGACACACTCCTACTACCGGCTAGCAACTACTAGCATTCAACTCAAACTATTCTATTTGGTTTTATAGAAAAGAAGACATTTTCGGGAATTTCTTCGATCGAACTAATAACGGAATTAAAAGTGCATCACCCTTTAAATTTCGATTACTCCTTGAAAATAATCTTTAAACTTTTCGGATGGCGTTACACTCCTCGCAATTTCTTGCTCGATGTCGCAATATCTCTTTATTCGTTCGATAAAGCTAAGAAACTTTTACGTTCTCGCAAGCCGGCATACGCCGTTGCTTTCCACCAATGGCTATATTTATATTTAGAGGAACTTTCTTTCTAAGCGATTTACGGATGTAGGGCTATATACTATTTTTAAAAGGAATACTTGCACACCAACACTATCGTTGCAAACTTTCCTAAACGTCATTTTCAATCTCATTGAAATTAATTCAAGTAAGACACGATTCGTCGTCTCTTTCAAGATTTCCTGACCGAGATTTTCTGACACCTTATCGCAGGAGCAACGAGGAAAAACGAGGTGGAGGGTGGGCAGGGGGGGGGGGGCGTTTGGTTAGGAGAGAGAATCCCCAAGACCGGGGCGCCGCGCCGGTATAAGGAGGGTAAGGATGGATTATATTTAGACGACTCGTGCCTTCCGGACTTTCCTCGATGTTACAGTCATCCGATTCATGAGCGGCCACGCGTACAGACAGACACTGCCTGACTTTTCTTCTCTTGGGCCATGTGCGACGACGCTACTAAACTTTACGTAATTATTGCGAAAGATTAAGACGGAGAGAAAGAGAGTCGAGTGTTTTTTTCTTTTTCTTTTACTCGGATATATATATTTCTCCTATCTTTTCTCATTCGATATTCTACATTATATTCTTTTATTTATATTTCGAGGACATATCTTGATTTTCGACGGAGGAGGAAAAGGAACGGAAAAAGAAGACGATCGGGAAGGACGTTTCGATCGTCATCGATCACGTCCGATCGTATCTCGACGACGGCCGCGCGTCGTCCTTGGCCCCTATGCGCTTGTACTCGGTCCACTCGATTTCTTTTATAGAATCAACTAGATGACCGTTTCGTTGGAGCAGTTTCTTCGGCCTTGATCGCGGCGAGATCGTACTTACGTTCTTACTTACGTACGTTACGTACGTTACGTCAACGAGACGTTGCGAGAGGAAAGAAAAAGTCGTAGCTAATGCTTGTTAGGCAAAGCTTGGTTTTTTCTTTTTCTTTTTTTTTCTTTTTTTTTCTTTTTTTTTCTTTTTTTTTTTTCGTACAGCCAGCGTCTGGTGACGCGACGGTGAGCACGAGCGAGGATTGCCTTAGCTCGGATAATTCTCCTTTTTTGTTTCTTTTTCTTTTTTTCTTCCGCGGCAGCGCTAGGAATGTGCCTCGAAATCCTTCGTATATATACCTCTAACAGGTCCGTCGTGCACCATTTGAAAATTCCACGCTTCTGGATAACGCTAAATGAATAATATTTCTAAGATCGACGCAATTTCTCCATTCACCTTATTCGGGGAGGAGTAAAGTAAAAGGAAAGAATAAATATGTTCAATGAGGCTTAAACGATAATACAAGCAGAATAATTATAGTAAAAGAAGTCGTAGGAAGAAGGAGCTAGTGGGATAATGTCTGTGAAAAGATTACGGACGCGTTGCATCGATCGTGAGAGATTGAAAAGTAGCGAGAAGCGAGGACTCATTGGACGCGTTAACGTGTCACTCGTAATAGACGAGGATATCTCTCGTTTAACTCTTTCGACGGCGCAGCGTGTCACGATGAAACCTTCGCGACTAGGTCGAATCCATCTCCGAGGTCGCAATTTCCGAGTTGCTCCGAGTTGTATTATCTCGCGCTCGCTTACGCGCGAGATCCCATAATTTCATAGGTGTAGCTACTATCTCTGGTAATGGGAATAGGAAATAGAGGCGAGTTAGACACTCGGCTGACCTTACACGCTCGAGAAAAATGTAAAAGGACGAGCGAAATGGATGTCAAGGATTTTCACGAGTCGCGGAATAAGGTACAACGTACCGTGGCAAACGAGCGAACCCAACGCCCTTTCACCTATCCCACCTCTTTCCTTTTTCCCTCGCTCGTAGTCGGTCTGACTTTTGCATACCGGATATGTGCGAATGCTATCACCGCCTTTCCATATATACTATCTTGGACGAGTTAAAGGCCCATAAAATAGAAATCATTTTCGAATCCAATATCATCTATATTGGAACGTAAGAGAGAAAAGGGAAGAGATATAAGAGGATATAACGTTAATATCCCAGACGGGTCCGACGTCTCGGAGTCGTCGTCGGGGGCCAGTTCGCACGCTCGACGATCGAACGTGAGCGACTAGATGCCGATAGAAGGCGAATAGATGCCGATGCGTACTGGATCGAGGCACGGCGAAGCAACGCGAAAGAGTCGATTCCAAGGCACACGTGAGAGCTTTTTCAAAACGTTGCGAGAAACGAGCGGCTTCTGCCGATGCCAAGCCGCTTCGGCGAAGCCGCACTAACGTCAACTTGGAGACAGACTTCGCTCCGGCCGGAAATGTTGGAATTTGTTTCAACGCGACACGATGACGCGTCTGCCATTTTTTAATGCCACCATTCGCCTCGATGCGACTCCTTTTCTTTTTTTTCCCCTCTCTTATTTTCTCAACGAACGACCGTGCGAGCGAGCGGGCGGCCCGACGAACGAACCGAGAAATGACAGTACTCGACGACGAGTATATGTACGGCGTATTACATTTTGCGATAACTATTAAAGAGACAGATATCTACGTTTCGATAATACGTCGAGTTTATCTATTACGAGGAATTTTTAAAAAGCATTTTGCCTATCGTTCCTCGTAAAATTCCTTTTTTACGACCTCCCCGCAAGTAATTATACTCGAGTAAAAACTTGTTGAAAATTCGATTCTATCGCCAAGACTTAACTAAACGTTTAACCAAGACGTCCGCGTTAACGCGCGCGCACGAGAGAGAGAGAGAGAGAGAGAGAGAGAGAGCGAGAAAGAGAGAGGATATATCGTGGGAATCGAATTTTCATTGTTTTTCCATTATTCCAAGATAAACCTTAAATTAAATCCAATTAGACGGCGAGGCGATCGCAAATTCCTTCTCGTCGGAAGAAGAATCTTCACGACGTTGCCATCGTTGTCCCCAATTAATGCTCGCTTCATTTAATGCACAAATATTCCACCGAGCGAGCATGCAGATTAATCTTTCTTATTATCCAATCTCGTTGGAAGAATCGTTGCTCGTCGACGATGACGAAAACGTTCTTTCAAGATTATGCGAGATGACGAGATCTAGTATTCAAATTAGCAACGCTAAAGATCAAGTTATTACAAAGGAAAGCTTAATTATCACAGTAAAATAACAATCAAATTGGATTTATTATCATTGTAAATGACATATTTGATTCGATCCGTCGCGCTACAAGATTTAGCATTGTCTCGCGAAAAATCGGTAAAAAAAGAAAGGTAAAACTTATTTCCCGCCAAGTGGTACTCGGCGCCATGTTACGTTGGCAAAAAGTAGCGGGCCGTTTAAGCGAGATTACTTACTCGGGGATGCTCGATCTAAACGGCCTAGACGATATCGATTGCCACTGGTCTTGCACGCTATTCCCTTTTATCGGTCGATCGCCAAGAGATAAACGCTGGTCTAAGCATAAGGGGTATCCACGATCAACGGCGACCATTGGCCCACGATTATCGTGATCCTGCGCACGGATCGCGCACCGTCATCGCCACTCGCTACGAACTCGCTCAAAGAGAAATATTGCCTTTCGTCCTCGTTGACCAAGCCAATTAATTGTCGCTTCATCGGGCATGAAAATATTGCTTCGAGACCGTCCTCGTACGTATTTATAATTTTCTTAAAGAAGATTATAAATTCTCACTCTCCCTCTCTCTCTCTCTCTCTCTCTCTCTCTCTCTCTCTCTCTCTCTCTCTATCTATCTATCTTCCTCTTTCTTCATATTGAAAAAGTAAACGCGTCCGGAACTAGTTTCTGCGTTCTCTCCTTTACAAGTACTTACTGGGATCGTCGACTCTTCAAAAGTACACGCTTCTTCGCGAGAAACGTCTAACGACTCGTTATTGCGAGAATCCCTTACATACGATCGATTCTCATCCTCCTCCTCTTTTGTTTTTCTCTCATACTTTGTGCCTTTCCTTCGTCGCTGCAGGTATTTACGACATATTTTGTTGTTAGTCCTTTTCACCTTGACGAGCGATCGCAAAATTTCCGAGTATTTCCAACGAGATGAATATCGTCGCGCACTCTTCTCCCCGCAAACTTTTCCAGTATCGTTTTCCGGACAGGAATCACCGGTCGAGTGGCAAGAGCAGCAACGATCTCACCGATTCCCTGCTCGGCAGTCTTGCTACTACTGGACCCACGGTAAGACACCGACCGACGAGAGAGAGAGAGAGAGAGAGAGAGAGAGATAGAGAGAACGCGCGGAGCACGAGGTAGAGGTAATGTATCCGGCGATTGGACGGATAGGGTGGGGGACGAACAGGAGAAAGAGAGAGAAGAACGAAACGCGAGCATCGCTGTGTTGGTGGAACTCTGAGAGAATAATTCGTTCTCATATGCGAGTCATAAAGCAACATCCGAGCAGGTATCCACGTGGCTCCTCGTGTCGATCCCGTCGCGCGATTGTTCCGTTTATAGATGCCATAAGACGTTACTTCGCGGACATATCCATGTGAAATGTTCTGGCACGCGACGACGTAAAATCTATTTAGACTAATTATTACACAATGCGGAATTATACAACGAAATGGCGCCATATCGCTAGAATATATCCACGAAAGGACGTTACGAAAAGGAAGAAAGGTCTCATAGGAAATGGCACGTTGCGCGGATTAACATGGAACGACCTCATCTCTTCGTACGTTCTTGCGCGTTCCTACGAAGCGCTTACTTCGTTATATCGAACGTTCAATTACAGTTATTAAAGGTAGACAATTATAAATCATTAGATCGAATTATAACGGGAACGTAGGACAAATTCCTGTACGTTACAAAGCGAATGGCTAGGATTAATAACAAGCGCGTTGGAAATCTCATTCGCTTGGTAGGTAAGAACGTACGGTAAGAATCCCTCTTTCATTCAGCCGATCTCGACACTGTCAACAATCCATTTACAATCCATTTATACGAACGCGAAAGAAGGAACTTTCTTTGAAATTTCTGTCGACTCGCGACGAATATTTACAAATGTCTTTTCTTCGGTGGATCTACGATCGAAAGATTTCTAGTGATTAGTTAAATACTTCACAAGGATTCTACCTACATATGTAAATACGTATGTTCCTACAAGGGATATTTACCTTCGATGGATAGATATCTTGTTGAAGAGTATAAAAAAAAAGAAAAAAAAAAAAAAAAAAAAAAAAAAAAAAAAGAAAGACAGGAAAAAAGATTCATTAGAGATATCGAGAGGTCCTACTTACGGTGCGACGAGCTTTTATTTATAAAATTATCGCGTAGAGTCTCATTAGAACCGAAGCAGTGGTTGACTAATATATACGGAGAATGAGTCAGAGCCATGCGACGAAACGAGTGGACCACTCTGCGAAATAGAAATAGATCGCGACGAACCGAGTGGACGCGGTCGAAGATATACGGCGTTGTGCCTCGCGCTGTTCGAGTTCTACTTTGGATCTTTTCAAATTTTTAATGGCGTAGAGTCAATATTAAATCTATAAATTGAAAGAAAAAAATCACATCATCGATCACCTTTATATTAGCGAAGAAATTGTGAAAGCTCGTAATAAAATTGCCAGTTTCTTGTTCCAGAGTACAGCTGTTTGTCGTTCAACGACAAGAGAAAGAGGATAGAGAGAAGGAGACGGGACCGCATGTAAGTCGCGTGCTGCGCGTTAGCCCGAAGGCAAAACACGTGATTTGACTTTCGCGCTCGCGCGTTCAACCGTAGCGATACCCGTGCGCGCGCGCGAGCGTTTTAATTATAGACCCAAGCCCTTCTTTTCTCTCTCGGTCCTCTTTTTCCTCATCTTCTCGCGTCCACCCTCGACACCGCGAAATCGGCGAGGCAGACCGACGCGCGTCTACCGCGCGGAGCACGCGCTCGTTTCTACGACGACGTCAACAACAACGAGGGTGTAGCATCAAAAGTGCCAAAGATTACTTCCAACGCTTGCCTTTTTTTTCTCTTCCCTACGAGAGCCCTTACGATTCCGATCGTGAGCTCGAAAACGTTGCTGGCTTAACAACGAGGCGAACAGTTTATCAGGTATATTTAGCGCTTTCCTTTTTTCAAGTACTATAATATTCGTTAATTGGTCGGACTTGCAAAGGAAAAAAAAAAATATTCTTACCTATGTGCCCGACGTTTCTACGAAGGGAGGATCGAAAGACTAGTAGTGGCGGAATTCTTAACAAGCTTAAATATATCTTTCGTAATACAATTCCTTGTCCCTTTATAACGCGAAAGAGGCCAGAACAGATGTTAACTATGGATTATGCAAATGTGGACGGTAGGTTAACGCTTGACAATTGGAAATGTAATAGGCCTATGATTCTTATCCGGAAACGACGTTGCTCTTTCTCAGCGATGCACCAGCGCGCATCTCCATCGAGTGTGTATCTCTCTCTCTCTCTCTCTCTCTCTCTCTCTCGTTCCATCCTTCTTTACATCCTTATGGTATGCCACTCCTCTAGGGTACTTCTTTACATCCTAATTTTACCCCCTGGCTTTTCTTCCCTCGTTCGATGCTCGACCAATGCTCTTTTCGGGAGACCGCAAAATTGGAATGAAAATAAACCGATCGTGAGAGAGACTAGGAGTAGTAATACGAGCCACGAGTTAAACGCGAGACCAGTTTTACGAGGACATTATTTACGATTTGATTTTACTAGATTTTATGACGCGATGATGCGCCTCAACCTTGCGGCTGGAAATGTTATTTCTCTCGCGAAACTTTAATGATAATAACATACGAAAAATAGCCACGGCACACAAGGCATTAATTATTAACAAATGATAATTTTTATAAAATTCTAAAATATCTTTACGCAAATGTTATCGCTCACAATGCGCTCTAAATGATCCATAAACGACTAAGAAGTATACATGTAGATGGCCGGCTTTAGCTGAGCGGACGAACCGCGACGCTTTTCTTGACTTTCTTTACGTGCCCTAAACGTGCTTTCTATTTTTAAAGGACAACTCCGTAAGCCACCGTAGAAGCCGACACTTTAATGGACTCGCCGAGGAAGCGAGTAAGGACGTTGTACTTGGCGCGTCAGGAAGTCGATGGGAAACGTAACGTATTATAATATTATCAAGGATATCGGGACTCACCATTTGTTGAACGCTCTTGGGCTTCCGGTTAACGTCGATCACCTTTTGATTCGCTGAAAAATAAGAAAGAAACGAATGGCCAAATCAATTTATTTCGTTTCCTTGGAAGGCCTCGGAGGCCTTAGGCGAATTTTTTTAATCGTTTCCTTTGATAAAGCTAAGGTGCGTGCGCAGGAGCAAAGACAGATGTGTGTGTGTGTGTGTGTATACATATATATATATATATATATATATATATATATATATATATATATGTACGGACATATTATGTAGAATAATGCGTATAGCTATTCGTTGTAGGTAACTGTCCAACTCCATAAGCGAATAAACGAGCACAAGTAGATGTAGGTACTGTTACTCGTTTGTCCGTGCGCGTCAAATCGGTTTACGTGTCGTTCAACGAGATCGTCAACGGCAATGAAGCAAGCCGGAGTAAAGAGATATATCACTTACTGACAGCTTCCACCAAATCGGCAAGGAGCACTCCGTCGCAGAGATCGGCTTGGAGATCGGAGACTCGTCTCTTCGAGCCACCTCGCTCGAGATAATAATTCGCCCAGTCGGTGTAGATCTGTATATATATATATAACAAAGAGAAATGAAATTTTATGGGACGAATCGCCACATACTTGTATATACATCTAGTACACGTAGAGTCGTTCGTAGTCCGCGCATAGACGAAGGAGGTTCGTGGAAGGAACGTAACCGGCGATCTCTCATTGGTACGTCGATCGCACGATCGCACGTCCCATCACGTACTCGCACTTACGATCATTAACCGTACGTACGTACGTAACCACCGAAGGCGAAGGCACGTTCGTCGGACGACGTGAGCCATGCAACGTCGGAGTAAACGTCCAATTTCTGATCGAAACGGTCGTCCGACGTTTTGCTCTAGTTAGTCGAATGAATGTGATAAACTTTTGTCGGAAAGGACGAACTTTTTTTAGTCCGTTTGGCTGGGGTCGATGGTACGTACGAAAGAAAGAATAAAGGAAAAGGGATGTATACCTGTACAATGTTGCGAGTAGAATCGGCTTTAATATCGTCGGTAGAACTGCGCACGGATCTCGGTGCCCTGATACAAGCCATGATTCCGATCGCACCTTACTAATTATAGTCCTTCTAGACTCATAGAGACACACCGGTAAAAGCTAAGCGCTCACTCGGAGCAACCTAGATACAATTGCACTTTGATCAAGAACTCTGCACAATGCTATGCTCGGAAACCAACGATCTTTTCACTCGTTCTATTCGCTCATCCCCTATTAAACGTTTTATCATCTCTTCCAACCTCCTTTTTTCTTCTTTTTCCGTCTATTTCACACTTGAGACAACGGCAGAGAGCGAGAGAGAGCGAAAGAGAGAGAAAGAGAGAGAGGGAGAGAGAGAGAGAGAGAGAGAGAGAAGGAAAGAAGAATAAGAAAAAAATCCATGCCAACTTGGCTGCGGAATGAATGAAGGAAGGACGTTTTCACTTCATGCAACATTCACGGCTCTTCTCGCGTTTCTTTTTACGTTCGCTCAAGGAAAGGGGAAATTGGAGGAGGAGGAAGGAAAATAAGAAGAAAAGAAAGAACAAAGAGGAACGTTCCTTCTTATTAATCTCCCGGGAAACGAAGGAATATACTTGACGATCATAATCGTCGATCGTAACTCGTCATTCCCTGATCGGGATCTATCCGAGAGGCGGAAAAACGTAACGCGTCGTTCCTCCTCCTCCTCCTCCTTCTTCTCATCCTCGGCGGGTGACGTAAACGACACCTCCTCTCTTCCCACGTTCCTCTTTTATTCGTCGAATCGTTCGGATCAAAGTTTGCCTTCGCGTTCGGGTCCTTCTTGGTGCGATTACCGAGAGAAGAACGAGATGGCTCGAGGCGCATCGTGAGCGCGCGACCACGATGGACTACTTCTCCTCTCCTTTCTTTTATCTTTTCTCTCGCGTCTCTACCGAAACAACGAGACGCAACGCGTCTATACGGCGCGACGCACCGGACGTAACTGAATACACGCCTCGGCTACTTATCCCCGCGTAGGTGCGTACCCTATCCCCTCTCTTTCGCCCACTCCCTATCTCTCTTTCTCTCTTACTTCCACTCTCTTATTCGCTTTCCCTCTTTCTCCCTCTCCTTCTCTCTCTCTCTCTCTCTCTCTCTCTCTCTCTCTCTCTCTCTCTCTCTCTCTCTCCATCTTAATATCTCAAGATAATATTCTATGATATTTCTTTATTTTCGAATGCAACTTTAACTTTTGGCTCGTTTCGGATTAGCACGGTTTCTTCTATGTCCTCTTACCTTTTTACGCCAATGTGTCTTCTGAAAGTAGACGAGGATCGTTTACCTTCCAGCTCTGATATATCCGGTGTGGAATATTTTTCAAGCGCATAACGTTTGAGAGAATGAGTGAGATGGAAGCTTGCAAACAATGCGAGAGGATACGAGCGATAAGTCTATGTGACGTTTCGAATAAATCGCGAATCCTTTAACGGACTCTCAACTAACGTGTGTAAGCGCGCTCGTTATAACAGCTGACAAAGCGATGCGCCCGACTATGAGAACGAGCCAAGTGTAAACCGAACGATGCATCGACAACTCAAATTAATTCCTCGAAACTCTGTTAACTTGTTGCCTGACGAGCGGCTAGAGTAAATACACGTATGTACGTGTCAATTTGTACGGTACATACGTATACGTACATGTCCGTCTCAACTTTAATATTAATCGTAATACGAAAATCGAACGTAATTATGTAAATAAGATGTAATTTTTATACGATCCCTAGAGAAAGTTTTATCTTTTGAAAGATAAAGTCTAACAATAATAATGTAATATTTTCTTAGAGTTTTGTGGAAATTCGTAGAATTTCATCTTGCCTTGGTGTACGCATCAACGAAGAAATATTAATCATCCGTTCAAGGACGAGACTCATTCGAAGAAGAGAGATTCAAGCAAGGAGAATTCGATCGGTTTTTAACGGCACGAAGAGAGGCCAAATAAATAGGCGATATGAAATTTTTCTTTTCTCGAATACGACAATATTCGCGGCTCGGCAGAAACGACGTAGGCCAAAGTCGGTGTTGAAAATTTTTTCCGCGAGTTCGGTCAAGTGGAATTCTCTCGGGTCGCACGAACAAATTATACCATTGCAACTAAAGCACCGCAGAACGAACTTTCTTTAAAAAGGAGAATTTTAATTAGAAGATAATAGATTCTCAAAGAGAACAGATGCATTACGGATCGGATACTCCTGAAGAAAGGTGAATTACGACGAGGACAATGAAATACTTGCGTCACGAAAGAAAGAGTTTAATTTCCCTACTTGGGGAAAGAAAAGGAATTATTCTGCTCGCGTCGCGTCATTGGTTTCGATCGACATTGCTCGTAAATATATTAGTTCGAACACGAGTGAAAGCACGAATCAGCGAGTAAAGGATCGGATCGATTAAATTCCATTTAGGGCTCGTTATTTGTCCAAACGATCATACGCCGATGATAAGTACGATAAAGTTAATTGCGGATAAATTATTTTCGTCAGATGCCGTGAGTTTTATTCGCATGGTTGGCCGAAGAAAATAATTTTATCGATATCCCGAGGGAGTCGCGAAGCTCGTTTCGTCGTTACAAACGTTGATGATCCTTTTCGATATACATATTACCCGTATATACGCGTACAATCGTATTTATGTATATATATATGAATATATATATATATATATATATATATATATATACATTCATAAATACGATTCCAATAGATAGTCCGAGCGAATAGGATTCGTTTGGTCGACTCACCCGTAACAGTGCGATGGATTTCTATTTTGACCTGTCGTGGCGAGATTCGTGCCGAAATTTAAGGGGGCTTTTCCTTCGTAACGACAATTTTGCGGGGCCGACGCGTTTGCCCATCAAAAAGGGCTTGGAAAAGGGATGAGCGGCCTTTTGTCGGTCTAATGCGAAAGGGGCTACTCGATGAACGCACCGAGAACAGGGAGATGAAATTTGGTTTGTCTTGCTCGTACCATCGTGACGTCCTACCGCGGTGAGGCGCAACGGTTAGAACCAGGAGGAGAAGAGTCACGTATACGTAAAGAGGGATGATGGGAAAGGGATCTGAAGCCAAAGAGGAGCAAAGGAAAGATAAGGAGGAAAGGGTCCAAAGAGGAAGGAGAGTGGGAGGGGGCCGGGGGAGGAGGAAGAAAAAGTCCCCCAAACAAACCTTTTCGAAGAAAAGTAAATTTTGGAAAGCGCTGAGATAAAAATCATATGTCCTCGTTGAAACTGTAAATAAATCTTCGAGGGTAACTAAAATGACGACGAAGAATAAAATTCATCCTATTTCCTATACCCAATCATTACGTGACGATATTAAACGTTCATTAGCTTAGGCAACATTCTCTATGATCGGTGAATTTATAACGGACAGATATTTTTTTAATTCAATCTAATAGTTTAGGCATCAGCAAAGGCCAAATTTAAATGCTAAATAATTATCGCCAAGATTTATAAATCGAAGTGGATGACTGCAGAGCGGCTCGATCACCGATTTTAGGGTAAAAGTTTTGAGAGAAAGAGAGAGAGAGAGAGAGAGAGAGAGAGAGAGAGAGAGAGCGGTCATAACCGAGTTACAGGTCCCCTAGTAAGTAAGAACGGTGGAGGAAGCGTAGTCCTCCCTTAGAAACGGTACGGTACGGAAAAGGGAATGGAAGCGTACGTGTCCTGCAAGAGAGCGCGGTAGACGCAAGTCTCGCGCATTCGCATCCTCTCGAGAAGTTCGAGGAAGCAGAACCGTCGTCATGGATACGATCGGCTAGTGCCACGCGAAATTACTTTTCAACTTGGCTGCGAGAGGAACAGAGAATTTTACCAGTAGAGAATAGTCAGACGCGCTACGAAGATCTCGAAGATATCTATTGCCTTACGAATTTTTGTTGATAGATTCCGAACGAATTCGAAGACGTTACTTTTATCCTTATTCTTTTAACGGCACACAGAGTGACGCCACGTGGACGCTATGTTTTATGAATGACCTACGCGTTACGCCTACACGCGTCGCGTTACGATGCACGCGAGCTAAATATACCTACCTACGAGTAATACCTACGAGTTGTCCCGAATGGCGATGAGACGAACGCTAGCGAGCCCAACCCTGCCATTGTATGACAGTATTATCGTACCTGTTTGTACGCGCGAGCGTTGTTCCGTTTAGTCTAGGCTTTCCTATGCGGCAATCGATAGGCCCACGCCAATCCGATCAAGCCTGATCGCGCATCGATCGTCCTTTTAGAACCAGTTGTCTCTTACTTTAGACCATATCGAAAAATGTCGCCTCCAATTTCGAATAAAACTTGGTAGACGGCTAGTCCGCCCAAAAAAGCCCTAATAACGAGCCTCACGACGTTTCTTTGGGGTTCGTTGTATCGAGTGGTCCCTTGGCTAAAATGGAAAAAGGATTTTTCTCGGCCGTTTCTCTCTCTCTCTCTCTCTCTCTCTCTCCCTCCCCCCACCCCCGCTTTCAACGAGAAACCAACGAAAAGACGTTCGCGAGAGGGGTGCTTTTAGAAAGAAGCAATCGCGTTCCATTGTTTCAACGTGTCTCAAGTTTAGGCGCTTGCCGTTTCATCGCTTTTCATGAGGAACGACGAAAATGAAATGTTTTCAAAGAAAAATTGATATTGATGTTGCGCAAACTAACGCAAGTTAGCGATTGCGAAATAAAGAAAAGAGATACAGGAAATGGAAAGAGAGCAACGGAACGAGGGACGAGCTGATTTCGTTGGGGCTACGAATTGGCAATTGCAAGCTAAATGATTTAGGTCGCTCGTACGTACTCGGTCGCTTTTACTCGGAGACCTTCCCCGAATTTCCTGGGGATGAGCCTACCCCAAGGCAAAGTAAATATCTTTGGCCCATCGTACTATCTTACCAAGAAAATAGATCTTTAATCAAATCGTCGGACTCGCACCACGATGACTCATGCCATGCTCCTTTGGAATGCACGGACGTCTCTCTTTGAAAACTTATATCTCTCAAAGAAATATAAAAGCTGCTAATCGATATCTACTCTTCCGCACGGGTATACGGGACTAAAGATTCTCCACAAATATTTTTCTTCCTTCATATGTATAATCAACCTCAAATGATACTGATCAAAACCGAAGTAGAAAAGAATCAAATAATCGCTCTACCGGAGAACTATGATCGAGAAGATTAATCGCGAGAGCTTCGAAAGTCAGGGAATGATTCGTCTGCAATATGTATAAGCGACGGAAAAGCAAGATCACGAACCACTTTGCGTGGTTCCTTTGCGAGAGATGCTGGTAGTTGGTTGGATCCCTTAAAGTAAACATCAAGTAAGAGACGGCGGAGGAGTAGCTACGCTTTCTTGGGATTGATCAAAGTACCTTCGCACCCTCGGGCAGCATATTTGATAGTCTTTACGGATGTTCTAACCTGCCGGCACGAGGATACTCGAAAGTTCTTTTCTCAAAGTAAACGTATCGACGTATCTACGAGAGCGCCTGGACGGAAGAAAAAAGAAACCAAAGAGTCGGTGAATTGAAAATTTAACAGAGAATCGGCATCATAATAATACGATGGCGTGTATCAAATCGAGGTAAATAAAGTTCTGCGTAAATCGCTCGCGGGAGAAACGAAATGCAGTAAAATTCGATAACGTCCTACCGCACGCTCGCCGCACGATTTTCAAAATTAGTAGGATAGGGGAATCCCAACGAGAGGGGGCGAAAGGGGACCAATGTGAAAATCGCTTCTCTCGTAGGATTTTGCCTCGGGGGCTGAAATGAGAGAAGCAGAGAGAGAGAGAGAGAGAGAGAGAGAGAGAGAGAGAGAGAGAGAGAGTATCGAGCGAACTGCGTTGAAGCTTAAAACGAAAAACCTAAATGTGAAGAGTAACGGTGAAAGTAAAGAGCGAGAAAGAAAGTTACGGAGAGTATAACAAAGAGAGAATAACGGGGGGGGAGGGGGGAGGGAGAGAGGGAGAG